CACTAGATAACCGACAACATATATATATATATATATATATATATATATTATTGTAATAATAAACCGCTAGGATTTGCTTACCAACGACGCTCAAGGAAAAAATAATCATGCATGCTTATATTGAAATGAGTAGAAGAAAAGTTAAAAATTATTAAGAAAAACATTACAAAAAAAAAATGGAACTCTTTACTATTATTTAAGGTCATGATGAAAGCAGATATAAGAAAGCAAAATAACGCGTGATGCGCATTTATAACGCGTTTGTTTCACGAAATCAACAGTCCATTAAAGCTATTTTTACTGCTGATAAAAGTGAAATGATAAAAATTATCAAATGTTACTAAGTAATCAAAATAATATTTGCACCCTTAAAAAAAAAAGAAATCCAAAAATAGTTACTAGCAATTATTTGAGATAAAAAGGGCAAAATGGAAAGATAATTAGCGGTCGTGTCATGGTGAGGACTAAAGTAGACAAATGTTCCCAATGTTTCTAAGGAAAAGGTTTCACTGACTCATGCGTTCCCTTCCCCACACCAATATATATAGATAGATAGATAGATATAGATATTATGAAAGCTGTAAAGATAAACAATTAAGCATTTAGCGTCCAGTATTTTACGCTTATAAACAGTCGTTGCTGTTATAAATATATTCTGACAAAATTAAATGAACACCAAGACATGTCTCAAAAAAAAATCCGAATATGAATCTTAGACCTTCCTGTCTAATCAATTGAGCATCTATGCATAAAGTCATTGAATAACAGCACTACCTGCTTCCATGAATGCTCAGATCTGCTTCGGTAATGAGTTTTCATCTAAAAAACATAATATTATTAAATACCTTAATCTAGAACATACACTAAAAAAGGTTGATTACCTTTTAACGATGATTGAGTTCACAAAGAGTTTCCTTTGTTGCTTATGGATCAAAATACACAACACAGCATTTCACCGTTGTGTTCGATGTGTGAGCAGACCTTTTTGATTCTATCCGTAGTGCTTAACATATAATAAATGAATAGAACACAGTTTCCCCTTACCCACGTTTATATCATTAACAACTTTTTTTTGATATGCCGAAGCCTAAAGTGCATGAAGTTCCTCACCAGCAGAAATGAATCTATAGACTTTTAGTAAACAATTTTCCATTCTTTTGAATGTAAAAGTTAATCCATATTTACTTACCCCTTCTTTTCCCCTTTGTCATTACCGATATTAGACAATTCCTTCACTACTATATTCATATTTCACCGTTGTAAAGAAATCACCTCAAATCGATTTGTAAGTACCAAAAGGGTTTAGTATATATAATATTAAGTCCATAGAATACGGGCCACTTTTTTCAGTTATTTAAATGAAACACCTTGCTCTTTGAGGCAATTTTCTGATAAAATACTATTCCGTTCTTGCCGAAAGCCAATTTTTCCCTCTCCCCTTTTCACAGTAATCCAAAGTGAGAAGGCGGCTTAGCAAAGTCAAAGGTTTGAAAATCTTATATGACATTAATTCCTTTTTATTGATATTTTCTTAGGACATCACCACGCCGGCCTTTTCGTTTGGTCTGAATTACTTGTGCCTGCATCCATTTTGTTTGCTGACGGAATAGATGCCGCTCTTCGTTGATCCACCAGGGGAACGGAATTCCAGCCTTGTTGTGGTGTGGCTGGGTTCCGTGAGGGGCATGACATCAACCCGCGACTATCCAGTGGTGGCGTGTACCCCACTAGCTGGGGCGACGTCACATACACGGCGGGGGTGGGAGAAGGCATCACACCCGAATTCGCTATTGGCATCTGCATTTGGGGCATGACAAAGCTGGTGTAATACGGGACGCTTTGCGGAGCTACCATATAGTACAAGCGCTGCGGCTTTGGTACCTCCGCGTGCGCTGCCGCCGGCAAGGAGACGAGATAGCTTACACCGGGCGTTGGCGACATTGATGAGACAGGCGACTGAATCGGCACCACGGCGCGCAGCTCCGCGCCTTCACCAGGGGTCGGAATAACAAGCGGACCCTGGAAGGTGAGGCTTGACTGTGAGGAGCTCTTTTGACGGGCTGCCTCGATATCCATAGAGTACTTCGGTGGTGGATAGCAAGGCGTATTCGACGGGACCTGAAGGCCGACGGATGAAACGCCCGATGAGTAACTCATCTGGGACGTAGACAGCCCAGAGGCGGTGAAAGGCGTCACGCTAGGGATGGTAGGCGCCGTTTGGAGCACCGCCGGCAAGGAGGGAGGCCTTTGCGGCGGAGGCAACAAATTATCATGTGAAGGACGCCGGTGGGATGCGCTGTCCTTTTTCATTCCATTAGAACGAAGGAATTTGGTGAACAAGTTGTCAAGTGTGTGACCTACGATGTTCCTTGTTAGGTGAAGCTGCTCTGGGCAGGCGTAAGAGTGGCGAAACTCCACAATATTCGTACGAAGCACCGCCGTAAAGCTCTCACCGGCGCGGCGATACTCCTGAGGCTTCCATGAGCACGAGTCTGGGTGGCCATGCAGGTGCAACGTGGTGCTGAGAAAATCTCCCTGGTAAGCGACTTCGGCTACGTTGAGCACTGAGTCCCATTGCCGTTCTCGTAGAAGTTGTTGAATCACTCGTAGGGCCTCGCCGTTTCGACGGTGCGAGAAATGAACACGCTTTCTATCTTTGTTAACTCCACGACGCAGAATCCGCGGCAGACGCACAAGGTAGTCATCACAGTGGAGCCCGCAGGTGACTGTTTTGTGATACAGCGGACAATGAACTGCACCCTCCGCGTTCTCCTCGGGGCACAATGGATCTCCCTGGAAGCGTTTCAACACTTGTGCCTGTTGTGTACGCACTTCGTCGATGTAAGGTGTTAAATCGGCCACGGACGTGCCAGTCGCTTCGCCATGGGCAGCCTCACAGAGAACTAACTCATCCAACCCAAAGGTTCCACGGTGTTTACGGGGAACGTAACAGACCGCATATGTGCGACCGAACTGCACCAGAACATGACTCATGGAAGCATAGCAGCTCTGAGGGGGATCTTTAGCTTTGACTGCGTTGAGGTCTTGTCCTACCACATTGCTATAGGTAGCAACGGAGTTTGTAGAGTCCTTTGAGTTAGTGGGGTCTAAAAGGCTGGTGTCAGGTCCCGTGCTTTGAGTAACGTCTTCGTTGCGCCGGAACGCTTCGTACGTTGGATCAGTAGACGAATATTTAAATCCCAAAGAAGCATGCGGCATCGATCCAACTGAAGAATTACTTCCCGCCATTTCATCAATTTGCATGTTTATAAGACTATTACATTCCAAGCTGACGAATTCAACGGGTGTCTTTTGACAGGGCATATCAAACCCAAGTTTTAAAGCATTGGTATCGCTTCCTGAACCACTAGGAGCTTTGTTTGAGAATAAATTGTCATTGGCAGTGCCAGAAGTGCTCATTTTCGTATTATTGACAACTAGTTACTATTTGGCCCGGGCTAAAATTACCGTGTTCTTATTCCACTCCACAAGGAGTCAAACTCGCTGACTTTTATGTGTTGCTGTGAAGCAAGGAAATCTAGAAAAAGTGATGAAAGCGTTATTGTAGAATGAAATAATGCAATACGCGAAGTTCGTGTTAGATTTGCACTTAATACGTCTTCAGTGCAAATCGGTTATTTTTTTGTCAATATAGTTTATACTGCAGTGGAGAAGACTTCAAAATTGAGAGATTTTTCTATTCCATATGAATTTTTAACAGTAGGAATACTTGATAGCGTGTGAGTCAAGGTAAGCCCGCCCAATTTCCTCTCGATAGTATAGTGGAAAACCTTTTTGATTTTATAAAGGATCCTTGAGTAGGGAGATGTATGTTTATATATATATATATATATATATATATATGCGTAGGAGTAATTAGGAATTTTTTTTATGCCAACTATATTAGCACACAATTTATCTGACTTTCTTAATGATAAACCAAAGTTCCACTACTTAAGGAAAGAAAACGTAAAAACACCTGAGGTTGATGGTATTTTTTTCCTTTCGAAGATAAGTAGTGAAGTTAATATGACAAAGCCCCACCGACTTAGCTTAAGAAATACTACGGAAAATAAACAAAGGTAATGATAAAGTTTTATTAGAGGAATAAAAAACACCACCGATAAAATTCAGACTCACTAGGGATATTCTATCAGTTGGTGTGACTGCAATAGAAATTCGCACAAGGTCAACGAAAAAAAAACGAAGGGCTCAGTCGAAGGAAAAAAATATAAACAGACCACCTTTCAATTTGTGTAAGGTAAATGCATCAAAAGAAAGGAAAGCACACACTTTTTGCAAATATGTAGGCACACTTGAAATAGGCTCTTAGCGGGTACAACCTTTTAAGAGAGACTTCGAAACCTTACTCTTGTCCCTCTTTTCTAGAAATATTTTCCACCTTTCGATTCTCCTAGCGGTACAAAAAAGCCAAAACGGACGCTGTAGAATGGAGGGTGGGAAATACTTTGATAATAAATAGAAGAAAAAAAATGAAGACACGAAAGACTAGAAAGAAAGCAAAGCTAAATTCTTAAAGCGAAACAATGTGGCGATATGTCTCGTAATAGTAATAATGATAATAAAAAATAAGGGCCTGTCCACTTTCTCTATATTTACGAGAAGTTAAAAAACCTATTGGCGAAACTCGTCGAATTTCACTAGAAAACAACAGAAAATGATCCACAAATTAGGTGAAAACTAGTCGAACAAAACAAAAAGAAGATTGCTATATTGGTAAGAAAATGTACAAAATAATTAGGCTTTGATGAGACTAAAATGAGACAACGACCTCAATTTTTGAGTAGTATACCTTTTCTTATATTCTGCTTCTTTGGTACTACTTCCCTTTATACTTTTCTCCCCTTTTAAAGCTTTCTTTTGAACTATATTTTTCCTTAAAGTTTGCCGTGCGCAGAGGACAATGAAACGCTAACCGTAATTCTTCCTTTCTCGTAGAAAATTAAATGAAAGCGGTAAACATTAATTTGCATATAAAAAGACAGGTATGAATAAAGAATTACGCAGCAACTAATATGACACAGACCATTCGGTTGAGCTGATTCTTGTTATTATTATGTACTTTAGTAATGACAGGAGCGGTAAACACTGATAGTGGGAAAAAGTATATCCCCCCCCCCTTCTTTCAAGGAGCGAACCCGCAGAGATATCTAATAGCAGAGTAAGAATAAATGAAACGAAATAAAATAGAAATCGAAACTACGAGGGAAAGCAGCCAATTTTCCCGAGAAGCAAACCCGGACGGTATGTTTTGTTTAGTCTTTTAAGACTAAAGTTAAATTCGTGCGTCACAATCTGCCGCTGAAATTTGCTAATGCATGCTGACACGCATTAAGCGTTCTAGCGCGCTGTTGCTGAAGTCTTTGCCGGTACAGCTCCCTTTCTGTGGACCGAGAGGGCATTCCTTGCAATATAGCCCAGATCATACGGTGAGATTGCTCAAGCTGAACCCAAAAGTTCTTAGCCGAGTCACTTAAATCTTCTCTGGATAGTAACGCATCGATCCCATCACCAGGGACATCCGATTCCGCAGGCTTGGGATCTCCATCAGTTGGGCAGTGCCCCTGCGCAAGATCACAAAGCCACTGCGCACACGCCACCTCCAGCTCCAATGCGACGTGAGGGCACCTAAACAGCCAGCCCACCCGCTCCTTCACACGCCTCACGTCATCTTGGAGGGCCTGGATCCGCTGCTGAGTATGCGTAAGCCGGGCGCAGAGGTACGCGGATTTGCGATCTACCGTCAGACGCGTCCCTGCCAACGTGGCGGCGATATTCGACAGGCCTGCCAGCGACGCCGCGGCGGGGCAGTCTCCAAGCGTGGCAAGCCACTCCCTGATGAGCGCGGTCTCCTCCTCCATTTCATCTGCCGTGGCGCCGCACGGGGAGAGGGAGGCGTCCTCCTCATCCGGAAGCAGGGACTCCCCCTCGTCAACGTCCTCGAGCCTGTCGGTTTGACCCCATAGAGGGATCTCTGCCTGCACGAGGGGTTCGAAGGAGCGAACGGCCTCTAGGGCGGCCGCCGCCTCGCGTAGCACGCCGGACGCACCTTGGTAGCGCTCTAGTCTAACCTGGAGAGCGGACAGGGTTGCGTTCACGTGGAAAAATGACTTAATGGCGGCCAAAGAATCTTCTGTCATTATAAAAAATAACTGAAAGTAGGTGTTGAATAATGATGAAAAGACACAATCAAGAAAAGCAAGCACCAAAACAATTATGAATCTTTGCATATATTCGATCTAGGCATCTAAAAATTAAGCTTGTAAATAAATGTTTGTGTGAGTTTTCATCATTAATTGGGGAAAGAATATCTAATAGCTTATTCAAAGCTCTGATATTACTTTGGAATGGGAGATGTACCCCAGTATTATTTTGGCATTATTTAATATATATATATATATATATATGTAGGCTAACCAAATTAATAGCGCTGAACATAATAAAGGTAGCAAGTTTTTGGGCCTAACACATGGAAATGAGGCCATTTACACATTTTTGTTTGGAAATTTACACCTTGCTCGGTTTGCCTTTAAAGGAATGGTTGTCAACAAAAATTAAAACTCTTATACCCTCTAACGCCATTGCACGTTGTTGATCACGCACATTGTCTTTCCCACATCAGCATACATTCGAATGCAATTGAAAAAATGTGTCAGGGCCGCGGCGAGTACAAATACATGCCAAATTTGATGACTAGAGAAATAGAAATCAAATTTTCCAGGATAGAAAACCTCCGGTAGTTTGAAAATATAAAAGAAGACACCAATGCCATATAAAGCCATCATCATTAACAGTCCCGTCAAATATGGAGAGCCAATATCTTTTGGAAGAAGGAATGCGATATGAAGAATTGGAAACATCCCAGAGCTGACCATACACACGTAGAACATAATCTTTTTGCTTGCAAAGGCTGCAGAGGTCCATTGTCGGAAAAAAGGACCGAACAATCCAACAACACCAAAGCTAAAAATCATTCCGAGGTACACATTGCGCCAAAATGGGTTGCGTGAAAAGACGTAGTAACAAAAAGGTACAAAAGAGCCAACAACAAGAAACGTAATACCAAAGTAGTCACACATGTGTGCCCAGTTATATATTTTCTCACTAATATGTCCTATAAAGGTATGGTAACAGGTACTGCATACCATACATATAAGACACCCGAAAGAGTAAAAACCAAAAATGACGAACGGCAATACACTTCTCTTTTCACACGAGTGGATTGGCTTATCATTGCCGTAAGGGGTCGTTACAGTGTGAAAGGAGCTCTTGGAAAGGTAATCTGGAATCAAAAGGGACCAAAATAAATATACGATTAAGACAACAAAAATCAATGCACCAGCGAGGTGAGTCCATATATTGAACGTTTCATTGTGGAGTCTGAACATGCTCAACAAACACATTTTGGTATTGTAGTAGGATCGATAGCCTGTTATAATATATTCGTTATCACGTAGATATAATGGAATATGCTCTATTCGATAAAGCGGCAGGTTGGGGTCACCGTTGTAGGGTGACCGAGCATGATCTTTATAAGTGGGTGAGTTCACCATATCCTCTTGATTGCGGTCATCTGCCACCTTATCGGTCACTGGAAAGGACTCTAGCTTAGCGCTGGGAGGTTCGGAATGGTCGGACTTATTTCCAATTCGAGACCTCAGAAGACTATTTCCATTGATTACCGTGGAAACAGAACGAATATCCTGACCCTTTTCCCTCTCAACTGACACCGACATGCGTCCCTTTTTCGCTGTTTAACAAATGGTTAAATTATATATATATAATGAATAGAAAATTCTACTAGTAATATGAAAATGTGATCAATCTTCTTTCATCAAAAAGTTTGGAAGCTAAATCTGGAGTTAACCCTTTATGTACCTCTGAAACGTTATGCCCAGTAGCGCAACGGAAGGGCCACGTAGGGATAGCTTTCCAAGCGAATATGTACAGGTCACTCTATAAAAGTGAAGAGAAAGAGAGAGATGATAATTAAGCATTGAAGAAGCGCAGAGAAATATTTTTGTTTTCTTGCAAACTTCAAGTAAGTCAGCTCTTCGTCGGAAAGAAACGTGGACCTAAAATGTGTCACGTAGATTAAACGTTTTCGGATTGCAATTGTTTGAGTAAATACCTTTATTCCTCCGGCATCTGAACTCTTTTCTGAACCAACGCATGCAAGTGTCGTGTAAACGGTGTGGATGAAACTGTATGTTTGCTCTTTTCAAGGTGCAACTAGAACTACCCATATTTCAGCAGCAATCCTCCACACAGTCTCGTAAATATATAATGTCGTCAACTACAATGCATGTAAAGACAATGCAGAGTTATTGTAGAGACGCACCGGTTTGCTTGATTGATGAGATCATCAACCAGCAACACCACAATTGACTCATGTTTCCACGTTACGCTATTCCGGAAACATAAGCTTACCATAGCGCTGGCCGTCATAGGGAGGAGGTGGGAAGGCGTGCTCAGTTTGAGCCAAGCAGACATCTAAGCTCATAACTGAGTGCAGCCACCCGGGTCTTTTTGCTAGTAGGGATTACATGTTTTTGTACCTTTCCTAGGTAAGACGATTTTTCCTCTATAGATATTCATTTTCTTCATGTTATCCTTTTTGAGTGGAGATTTTTTAAATACCGTTCGATGTTCTCCTTCCATAAATTCACGGGTCATATATTGGAATTCTTCAACCGGCATCTACAAATCGATTCATTTTCCGCATTCGGCGAAAGCCTTGCGTTATCCTCCAACAGAGCCTATCGTCATCTTCCACAAAGTTTTCCCACGGTTTATTTCCTCTAATTGACTCGGGTGAGATCGCGTCGTCAACATCAGGCGGCGGTAGCGCATCAGCAACTTCATTTACAAGCTTAAGCAAAAAACGCCGAGCATGGACGTTGACAATACATCCTATTTCCGAAAACATTTTGGAAATCATGATAGGACTCAATAGCTCGTTTCCTTTTGCAGGAGCCTCCGAGGTTTCCATACCGGATACTACCTCCCCTGCTTCCCCTTTGTCCAGAATTCGGTTGCTTTCAATGCTCATCGAATATAGAGCCCAAGTTCCCTGGTTTCCACAAGCCTCTGCATATGACAAAACGCACACGAGGCAAAATTCCAGTTGGCGTTGCATCGCAGCCGTGTAGTAGCCTGATCTTCGGAATAAGCTGGGTAAAAAAAGCATCTCATTAAGAGCAGCGTATATCACTGAAGGGAGCATATAGTTCTGATTATGATCAAAAATATCAGAAAAAACAACACAGACATCGTAGTATCGCTTCATTCGAGCCTTTTGCTGATTGCGATCTGATCTTGGAATCGCCATAAGCAGCAAGCGTATGCGCCGAATAAGGCTCAAGATCAAAAAGTTAGCCTGAATCAGAAAGGCATGTGAGGCCAAGACCTTTCCAGCCTCGTCCCTACTAATAGATACCGATGATGAATTGAGAAATCGCATTGCGTCGCTATTTCTACTTAGCACACCCTTTAATAACCCCTCAAGGGAAAGTATTTCATCCATGGATTTGGGCAGGGATAAGCCCTTAAGGATAGGATTCATCCAATACCGCCGCACGTGGCGCAACATGATAGCCAGGTACTTATCCAACGGACATTGCCGTAGTGGAGTCTCCACTGCCTGTATCGCGCATCGCCAGACAGTCTCGGCAAAATTCATACGCGAAATCAGCTCTTCAGCAGTCGTTTTGTCGTTATTCGCTCCTCCCGTGTTTGGTGGGGGGTTCAACAAGCACAGCCGCGTCACGCAGATAAGGCCTTGTTGGGCAACCTGTCGTGAACCCTTAGAGATGCTGAGCTGAGGCGTCGCCAAGGTGTAAACCCGCGACGCAGCCCTAGCCACATTGCTCATCGACAGCCAACTCGGCTTTAGGGCATCCTCGGATATCGCCCCGCGGAGAGCTGTGGCAGCCGCAGTAAGAACATTTGTGCTACATATCCCTGTCCGCAGAATACTCTCCAACAGCTTTAGCAAGTTCAACGCATCGTGACCCTTCAGAGTGGAGTCGATGGCGCGTTCCTTCCATTTCTCGCCGCCAACTGAAAAAGAGCGTAGGGCTGCTATTAAGGCAGACTCCAGAGCAGGCACCGAATGCAGATCAGAAACTGGGTGGCCAAGGAGAAAAGAAAAATTTAATGCCTCCATGGCAACACTGAGAGCGATGCGTGAAAGCGCCACTATCGAATCCTTTTCTAATTCTTCAGTGGAGAAATCTTTCCGTATCGGCATCGATGCATCCATCACGTACTTATCCATATGTTTTTGTAACCCATTAAAGGACTCAATCAGCAGCTTCTTTAACACGTCGGCCTCTGTCGAGCCCTCCTCCTGTGTCACTCCCTTGCTTAACCTTTCCATGTGTCCAGAGAAGTGACTTGAATACGCCCTGCACAAATTTCTAAGAGCAATGCAGAGTGTTTTCAACACAAAATGAGAGCGTTTACTGTCGCGCACCAAGACAATCAGAGATTGTAAAACGTGTATGTAGAATCCAACGTTAGATGATTGTGCACTAGTGGTGGAGTAATCTGTCTCAACAAATTCAAGACAGATAGTCACGAGATCTGACCAGATCTTGAACTTCTCCTGAGTCAACAGAAGCTGGTCAGCTTGTTGCGTTAGACTTTCGACGACCAGCCTAGTCCCTTCCGTCGGTAGCAGAATCAGAGTGTATGATTTAACCTTTATGTGGGAAATCAATTCATCAGTTGGGATAAAATTAGAGCAATGCTCAGCACCCGCTACAGGGAAACTTTTTACTAGTTTACGGGCTCTATACATATTAATTAAGATTCGAAGTGAAACTATCTCCACCATAATTCTATCATCTTCCGACAAGGAAACGTCGGCCCATCTATCCTGTATAACTACCTTCAGCTGCTGCAGTACACATTGCGTCACCCTTTCAAGCGAACCCAAGTATCGAAGAGAGACCGTGTCATCCGAGAATGTCGTCATGCAAAATGCTGTGTAGACTGAGTATACAAAATATAGTTTTCGTAAAACAAGAAATGGACGCTTCATATCAAAGTCCACTCCCTCCGGAAAATCCTTGGTGAAGAAAACTCGCGTTTCTAGTAATGGCGCAAGGGCGTCGAAGATTTCAAAGATATTTTCGTTGCCTGTCGTTGACGTAGAAGTATGAGGTCGAGCCAGTCCTGTATTCCATTTACGCATCGCCTTGGCTGCCGTGCAGCCAAGAAAAAGATTACTTGGTTTTGAATTTTCATAAAAAATCCTGAGCATCTGAGCACAAATGTCAATAAAAGACTTATTATTAATTTGAAGAATATCAGTCAGGAATGAAACCTCCCGGGCATAAAGTGGCCTAGCTTTCACTATTAGGGAGAAATACGTAACGAAAGGAAGCCGCGGCAGTACCTTCGCTACGGGACGCAGAATCGTTTCATCGATTTCCTGCAGAATATTTTGATCAAACGTGCGATTAAATTTCTGTACACTGATTATCACACACAGGATCCTGATAGTCGCCACGAATATACTCATTTCGCTTTCATGAACAGATGACGTGCTGGATTTCGAGGCAATATCTTTGAATGAGTAGTTTTTCCCCGAGTTCTGGAGGAAGAACTCTCCGAAATTTATGTCCTCAGGACAAGCATAGTCACTTGGGAGTCTTCGCGCAGCTTCTGCAAGAAGTTCTGTAGCGAGTCGAATCTGAGCCTGAGTTGGAAACCCTTGATGGTACCTTCGTGTTCTTCGCTTAAAAGAACCTTGCGATCCATCGAAGGATGAAGCCAAGGAAGAATCGGTAGTGAAAGGAGTGAAGGGGTCCTCGGAGGTATCATTGTGTTGATCATATTCCTTCATACCGTCACGCAGTAGAAGATTAGCTGCTATAATAAGATTGAGTGTTTGCAAAGACGATATATTGTTTGAGACAAGAAGGCTCACACACTTACGCATGAGCTCGATTACTTCAAGAGAATCCCCAAGCTTAGATGAAAGGAATAAAGCCTTAAGAACGTCAAGGGATTCCGCATCCCTCATAACCAGGCGTGCTTGTCGGATATTCACGATCACACTCAGTGCGAATCTATGGGCCTCCGGTGGTATTGAAGGGTTATAATACTGTGTAATAATCCTCTGGCATTCTAAACAAGTTACTCGGGTTAATGCCTCACCCATTGTGTGTCGTCCCTCCCCGCTCGCCAGACGCTGAGCTAAAGATGAAAGCAACTTAACATAATGTACCATTTACTATAACTAACAGTCCTATTGCTGCGCACAAAAAGGAATGCTAGCGCTTCGACTCTGTGAATAATCAAGAGACTCTTAGAAAGGAAGGGAGCAAACACTATGGACGACAGAGTAGTGCCCATTTCCGGAAAAGAAATGTACAACTATAGAGTTTCGTAGAATATACTCAAAGCAGTCGATCGTTTGCATAAAAGTAGCAACAAAACATCCTTATCTTTTTTTTTTTAGGGCGTGGATGGGTCACTGCTGTTGGGATTGCATATGGGGGCTCTTGACAAGAAGTCAAGGGCAAAGCAACAACAATCCAGTTCAGTTCATGTAATCCTCAATGTGCGGGATCTCCTTTGGTATGCAGGCCGTCAAGACAACCACCTCAAAGGGATACCATTCACATGAGGGCGGTGCCCAATCTGCTAATGGTCTCTTTTCGGTAAAGTGAGTTTGGACTCGGGCGGCATCCAGCGGCAGACTTTCGAGAGCCTTCGGAAACCCCAAAAGGGAGGTCCTTTGGAGGAGTAAAAAGTACAACACACTGAATTGGGAGGATGTTAATTGGGGTTTGTAGTATTGAAACCTCTCATCCTGTAAAAAAACACAATCCTTGACATAGTATTCATCATTCAAAAGCTCCTCAATGGCTCTCAGTATCTCATTCAAATAGTCTAGGCGTGACCAAGGTGATTGTTCTTCGGCATTATTGCCGGAACGGGGTAAAATTAAAACGTTGTCTTCGATTTGCACACCGATACCACGCAGAGCCTGTGGGACGCAAGTTATATCATAGTCAAATGCGGTTGCGCGGTTCACATCAGGGAAATATATTCCTGGTTCAATGGTGTGCACCATTCCACCCCCAAAGGTCATTCCCCTTTCTAGCATATCCTTGCTCTGAGCAAACTGCTCGTGAATATCAAGCCCCATGAGGTGGCCAAAACTGTGCGCACAGAATAGGGAGCGAACTTGGATTTGAGAGACATTTCTCACTCCTAGTTGCCCTTCAAGCGCCTGCCTTGTAGATTCAATGTGCTTCTTTGACACCTCCGAGGTCGATCTGCCGGATTGAATGCCTTGAAACAACTCTTGTTGAATCTGTAGCAAGGCATTATAAATTTTTTTCTGGACTGTGGAGAAGCTAGACTGGCATACCGGAAAGGTCCGTGTGCAGTCTGTTGGGACCAAGTTCACCTCCACACCACCGTCAAGACGGAGAAGATCGCCCGCATTTGCGTTGCCGTTGTTGCGCGTGTAATGAATCTCCGTCGCACGCACACCGCTGGCAACAACGGGGATGTAAGCAGCATGCACCTGCACATCTGGTCCCACTCTTTCGCTTAGGTCTAAAATGGCTTTATGAAAGGCAATGGTGATGTTGTGTTCTGAGGTTGTGTGTACGGCACGCCTCATCGCAGCACGGAAGGCCTGACGAGTGGCCGCCGCGCTCCATAAGTGCTGTCTTATCTGCCTAGGCGACTTAAAAAGGCGATAGCGACATAGCAAATCTTCGGCAGAACAAATTGCGGTGCGTTTCACTACTCCACACGCGGCCGTCTTGATAGTGCTTGCGCTACCAGGGAGGGTGAGGCAGTAACGGATACGCTCCTGTTGCGCATTGCTGTTAACTGAGACGCCACACGAGCCTTGAAGATGCAGGGGCAGATGATATGAGCACTCTGGAGTAGGAAGCCCCACAAATCGCTGAGATGCCAAAGAGGAGGGAGACGGTGTAAGCGTGAAGCGAAAGGCGAGTATCACACACATCAAGGCTTCAAATGGATGTCGGAAGGCAACATTAGCGTGTGTCAAGCCAATCCTCCTCCTGAAGCACTCCACCATGGAGGTGTTCTGTGGAACCTCAAGATGGTATTGCTGTCTGGTCCAGCGTAACTGCGTCGGAAACTCGATGAGAAGCTTCGGAAGCGGATCAAACTCCTTGTAAAGTAACCGTGCCTTTTTTTCTTCTAGATCCCCGTTGCTGAACGAGAGTGAACCGTGCTTCTCTACTATGCGTTCCCATCTGTTCTGGGCGGATGCTTGAATTTCCTTAAACAGAACACTCGCGATGGTTTTGATATCATTCACATGCACGTTCTCGGACTTTAATGAGCTTCCATCTGTACCGTTGCAGCCTTCCTTAGTGGCGTGATTTTGTTCGTCTCTTCTACACGGCCCCAGGTGGTTCCTACTGAAGTCCTCCAGAGTTTTGGGTTGGGAGGACCACACCAAATCCGCGGGATCCGTTGTTTGTGGTGGAACGAACAGGAAGGTTCGCAATTCGCTATTTGTCTTCATAAAGGCCCCACAAGTGAGTCTCACGTCGTTCGTGAAGGCCGAAGTCGGAGGTCTTAGCGTTTGGCGTAGTGGCTCCCGCAGGCCGAAGAGGTGGTAAAAAAGGCTGTTTTGTCGATGTGGATAAAGAATATCCTGCGAGTAGATGACCTCATCGGAAGCCAAGACAAGGAGTAACGTGTCCGGATCCAAACAAGATAGTAAACGGCGACGGCGTGCCGCGAATTCAGACACACCAATAGCGTGAGTTTGCGATGCCGTTGCAAACATACGCGTGGCAAATCTTAGGTGAGGTGCTTGACACGTCGACACTACCTGCCATGATCTTGTCATGGATATCAGGACTATATAGGGTATATTTTGTTTCAAAAAGGAATAACGAGGGTGAAAAGAGAGTTGATACTGGAGAAATCCATCAGGAAGGAAATTCCTCTTTTTTGTTTATATCGCTCACTGGAAAGGTGAGCCCCGGCTATTTATACCGATACTAAATGAAAAGCGAGTAATACAACTCAAAAAAGGTTAATTTCACATAGCGTTTATCCACAAAACCGTTACAAATTGAAAACTAATAAATAAATAGTGGTGCCATATCGCATAATTTACATTACAAACAAGCTTATTTCAACTTCCATCAAGTGTCGAAATAGTAAGACAAGTATACACCCCTGTGCATATAGGCAAGATAGAGAGGTGAGACAGAAATGCAGCACATACATGTTTATCACGCAGAGAGAATGGTTTGCATTAACTTTTAATGCCGAATGGACAAAAAGCATTTCATTCATTCATTTTTTTTTTTCTTCATGAATACTCTTTCCATGTAACGTTCTGACCATAAAAATAGAACCGCTGCGATTACCATATTAAGCAGCAATGTTCCGATTGTTACCCTCATAATAGAGTGTGTGGTGTGCTCAAACATAAAGCGTCGGACCTGGATGCTGCGCAGCTCGTCACGTGTCTCCTCTACACATATTTTAAGCATATTTAGGCGATCCTTGTAGTCTTCCATACCTACCGGCTTGTCAACTGCCATTGTGCCATCCTCCAGGTAGAGCGGATCCACCTTTTCGTTGTTCGCTACAAAGGTGATTTCAAAACCCATAATAGGGGCTTGGCGCAGTGATTTGAGGCAGATCGTGTAGATTCCAGTTTCCTCTGCATGAAAGTAGATTGTAGTGAGATGGCCGAGAGTATCGATCGAGTCCTCGAGCGGAATTTGTGGTCCACGCGTGTTAATATCTGCACTAGGGCCGTAAAGTTTTGCTCGAATGTAGCTCAAACGAGGGGAGAGGGCGCGGTGGACAAATCCCACCTGCACAGGTGAGGCTTCAGGGTCGCGGAAGACGAAGTGCGAGACGCACAATTCTTTATTAGGGAAGAGCTTCACATAGACGTTGGTGTCGGCTAAAGTGTACGGAAAGCCATATAAGCAAAGAAACACGATGGTAAGCAGAATCCTGAGAATGAAAGACATTGGAAAAACTTTACGGAACTATCTTCAATGGACAACCTAAACAAGGGTAAACCAAAAGCTAAATAGTATGCGATACATTAATAACAATGCATATAAATATATTTATATAACGTAAAATACACTTTTCCCGGTACTAACACAGGATGAGAGTTTTTTTCCTCTTGTTTGCTGCACAAAACGCGCTTAATTCTAAAAAAAAATCTGTGATAGAAGGCAACAACATAAAGACACGAACAAAAAGCACTGCTCAGGTGAATATTTATTCGGCGCTTGAGGTAACCATTCTTTTATTTACACACAAAATAAATTATGCGGTATATGGTTAGCGTGAAGTCTAAACAATTTACAAAACTGTAACTGAAGTAGCCTTTATTTCAAAGAATATACAATGCGTGAAGAGGATCACCTAATCAAAAAGGTTACCCCATACAGGTTGCCACTAAATGAATGACCTTGCCTCTTCGCTTCCAACCTTCTATAAGCAAGATGACAAGTTTTAAAAATACTTCTTGGTCAGAACCAACTTGCGATATTCCGCACGAAGCGGTCCGCTACCCGGCTACCCTTCTGATCCCCTACTTCTCGCTGTCGCTGAACACGTGCCGCCAGTGTGTTGCTATTTTTTCCAGTGTATAATGTTACCGCCTTGTATAGATTGGAGGCAAAAAATTTAGCACCTTCCAAATATGAAGGCCGTTTTTCTTCCTCATCGTAGTAACTTTTATTAGTATGACAATAATTGTTTCCTATGTCCTCTTGTCTTCCTATTCGCTCGTCGCTGAGCACCAGATTGACATAGCCGGCGTCATTGAGGCCATCTTGAAGAGGGTCAAGCGCCTCACGGGACATGAACACGCGCAGTTGATGCGCGCTAGAGGTGATGGTGTAAGAAATGATGCCCTTCGTTTTCTGAAGAATCGCCTCGATGTCCGATGTGTCGGTATGGACATAAAGCGCTGGAACCTCCAGCGTTACCATGTGTGTGGTCCGCGCACGGGTGGTCGTGGCCACGTCGTTGAGACCGGGCCCCGTCTCCAGCGACGACTCCGCCTCGCCAGCGCTGTTGCGTAGACTGCTATAATCAGGTTCGCGTGAATCTTCAACCGGCGACACCGACCTATCCTCCGCTGCGTGGCGTAAAACCTCAGTGCGACGCGGGTCCCCATCGCGCAAACCAGGACCAAGAGTATCTAACGTGAGATTAGAAAGTTCGTACAGCTCTGGATCGTTATATTGCGCCTCACTATAAATGTGGAAGATCCCATTCACTAAGCCAACTTCACTACCAAGCAGATCGACATTATCTGGATGCTGTGCGAGCAGGTAAATTGCTTCCAGGCACATCTTTTGTGCTTCACGTTCATTGCTCGACAGGAAACGAGAGAGCACAGGCAGGGTATTGCGCCTGGCGATAGCTGGACGCGCATCATAGTCTTGACTAAGCATGTGAAAACGCTTGATCAGCGAGAGCTCTGCATTTTTGGATGCCATTCCATGTATCCTCCCTTATAGTTCGAGTTCGTAAGGAGGGGCTCCGGCAGCTAAGAAAAACGGAACAAAAAGTATGTACCTAAGGCAAAGAATATTTCTGTGGAATCGAGACTTATATTGATATAGATACTGCTAATGAAGCCAGAATGCACATAGAAATATGTAGCTATATATTAATACCGTCTCAGAAAACATGCAAAATAGGAGATCTATCCATGACAGCGTATACATACCGTCGAATCACAGGATGATTGCCCAAGCTTAGTTCAGATAAAACTTGCTCCCAATAATACCAATTAAAGGTCCTAAAAATACGTTGCATTAACATTATTTTAAACAGTAAAAAATAACAATAAACAGCAAAACACATAGACTGAAAATAATAACTAGGATATAGATTTCAGGAAGTAAGAATGAGGCACACGGTAACCTCTTTTCATCTAATACGGAAGTACCGCACCCTTTCCGAATTGCTAAGCAATACCAATTTCGCTATTAATGTCTGTTGGGCGTTGTTTTGATAACATCCCCCTTTTTGCCATCTAAGACAATTTTGCTGACGAACTGTTCAGGCAGCGGGAGCTCCACCATGTCCTCGGGATCATCCCGCGATGGGAATAGTACATTCACTGTAGTGATACGTGTCGAGAAAATATCCGTCTCGCGGGAATGCTCCGGACTAAGAAGGTAGATATTGACGGTCGAACTGTTCTCCACGACGACGCTCGGGGCTGCCTCAGCTACCTGTACGTCGATGTCCGTGCAACCCAGGATCTCCACCGAAGACACGACGCTCGATAGCGCGACCTGGGCCTTGTGACAGTGCACGATGGACACCGAGTTGACCTTGCCCTTGACCTCGAGGCTCACATAGCGGCAGTCTTGAACACAAACCGTGTGCTGCATTTGCACACCGTCGAGACACACGCGCAGCTGCTGCTCGGGGCTGCCCACATGCGAACTCACTAGCCAGCGCTTGCCGTTCTCCAGGAGCAAGACGGGCCCCTTAGTTTGGTTCTTCGCGGCGCCGGTGTGTCCCTGCCCGGCGCTTTCTTCTGACTCCTTGAGCTTCCGCATCTCGGCTTGCTTCTTCCTCAGCTCCAGAGCGCTCATATCCAGTGTTCCATGTTTTACCTTCCACTTATAAACCTTTTTGTACTCCGGCACGTGACGCAATCGAGAGGCAATGGAGTCGCCAGCGCTGCGAATTTCTTCAAATAGGGCGTTGGCAGCCGATCGTGGGGGCGCCGGCACTGATGCCACCGGAGGAGGTGGTGGAGGAGGAGGTGGTGGTGGCAGACTCATTGATTCTAAAATTTTCAAAGGGGGTCTAAAGTAAGGATATATTTAATGTAGAACAATAAGCAAAATAAGGCAAATCAAAAACGATAGACATCACAGAGACAAAGGGCACACTCTCCACAGGATTTCCCTAACGTTAACAAGGATAGTGTAAAAAAAAACGTAGCATACCCCAGTATCTTTTTTAAATACAATACCATATACAGTTTTTATTCGCGCAGTGGCCTTTTATACTCTCTACGGAGACGCACTTTTTTGATTTGGTGCTTTGATGACACGGAGCATTTTTTTTTTATGCAGCTTAATTGTGCATATTCTCAAAAATAAATTTCCATTAACAATAAACAAAGTCCTTCAGAACTTACGTCATGAGACTAACCAAATATTGAATGGAAAAATTGCTAAAAAATTAGGTAATAGCCGAATTACGCCCAATAGAAAACCGTGTAGATGGTGCTGCACTTGCTAAGCATCAGCTGTTCAAAGAAACGGATGTCGCATACCATGGGCAGAGGAGGGGGAAATGCTGATGCACGTTTGAAGAAAAAAATAATTGTGAGACTAACCAATTATGGGAAATGAGGACATTACAGAGAACAGACACCCTTTGGTATTCATGGGTTACAGTGTTTTCCCATCAAAAAGCAAGAGAAGCTCATCACACGTTCCGCTTTATAAAAGAAGTGTTATCCCGCTTCTTTCCTAGACAAATGACAGAGTCAATCTAATATACGGTTAATGTGTGTGTGGTGGCCCACAGCCTTTCTAGCAATAGAGGGACAACATATATGAACACATATCACTACATCCAATTCTCTATTGTCATTTTGAAGAAGCTTACCACTCATCTACGCTTCTTTGCTTTGACGTTCGCCAGGGCGTCAAAACGCCCACCAGATAGAAAAGCGGGGTTGCCACTGTTGTTTTCCGTTGCGTTGCTGCCCTGTCGCCCGCCATGCTGGTGTCCTCGGTTTCTCCCCACATGATCACTAGACGAGGTGCCTTTTTCCACTTTCTTCCATCTGCATTCCCTCTGTTCGGGGTAGCCAGGTTGGGTGCTATCCCCACCTCCTTCTGTTGTCTGTTTGTTGGCTTTCGGCGGATAATTGCCATGATACTCATTCACGTTGTTGCCTTTCTTGCCGCTGCTTGCGCCTTGATGGGGGATGACTGTTCGCATTTCGCCCCCTTTCTGCTGTTGGGAGCGCGCTATGGAAAGTAAAAAGTTATCATCATCGTCTGCCCAAGAGGATGCGCTCTCTGGCTCCAGTAATGAGTTGGAAGCATTGGTCGATGAGCACCATGTGTCTAGCTTTTGGTTCACCTTCAGCGGGACGCCATCCAACATCACTGTGGGTTTGTAAGACTTGAGTGCTGCTAAGTAGGAGGGAATATATGGCTTGACAGTGTCCATGTTTTGTCCAGTCAAGGGGCCTTCCGAATCCTTATGGATCGCACTTTCAGAGATGGAAGCTGCTTTAGGATCTGTATTTTCTTGGACCTCACCCTCTTCCGGCTCCACTTCCGTTTCCACCACATATGGGGGGCAAGCGCTCGATGTGATACCTTGCTTCACGAGACCAGCGTAGTTGGATGTTTCTTCAGCCATCAGTTTTTTTTGACTTACTATCCCCCCCCCCCCGTTTCCTACCTGCTGCTAGCTTATCTCGAACGCGTTACACAGAATATGTATGGGCTAAAGAAATACCTTCCGCTCCGTTACAGCTAATGCTTACACACAGAAGAGAAAGCTGCTGATGTTTACAACAAAAAACTTAGTCTAAAAGATTTTAATTACAAATAACTCTTCCCCGATGCGCTCGGAGAGACTATGAAGAAGAAAAAGGTGTTTGATAATATATTTCTTTTCCACCTACACCAGTGAATGCTTGAAGATTTAGTTAAATGGTCAAAAATGAAACGTATGGGGAATAAAAGGATTAAAGACAACGGACAATAGAATAATTTTTATTTGGCATTTTTACAACGCATCTTGGAGGATAGGATAGATATGTCACGTACAGAAGGAAAAGCATTAATGGAATATATATTCACAGATACACGACGCAACACTTGATCACGCTCGATTTACTTTGACTAGATCTGCCGTAACATGATCGTAGTATGCCCGAGACTCCGATGGAATGGCTGCATCTTCCCCTCCATCCATTAACACACCTACTTTGGAAACGGTGCAGCTCCATGCAAACAGCTCAGCTAACAACGGCTGAAGCGCGTTCATTTCTTCGTAGAGATGCACTGCCCGGTGTAATTGATGTGAGATGGCTAGCATCGTGAACTTCCTCTCCTCAGGGCCTACGAGAGAACTACGCAGCACAGTTTGCAGCTCCACGTGCGCAGATACCACTAATAAATTAGCCACTAAAGCGAGCACATCCCTAGGGCGAAACACACTCACACTGAGCGCCGTAACCACCTCTACTAGCACTCCGAGGGGGCATTGCAAATCTTTTCCAAATTTTGGAAAGCGCTGGAGCCATAGCTCAGATTGCACGGGGACTGAACCTTCCACTTCTTCGACAGCCTCGTCGCGCGATCCCCACGAGGGGTGACTCAAAGAATCCTTCTCTAACTTCTTGGCAGTTCGCTGGAGGTAAGCCAAAGGAGAGTCCGACTTCCACATGAGCACTCGCAAAGCCTTGATGGTTCGCTCAAACGCGTAATCTTGTTGCATGCCAAAGCGATAGAGCGCGACTATCAACACTAAAAGATCCTGAACCCCATACAGGGGCAAATTGGAATAGAGCAGACCTCTTGCCTTAAGATCATCCGAATGTTGGTGGGGATCCCTCTCCATAGCACGGCTCACAACGGCCTGCAGCATGTATTCATCTGCTATACCAATCTCTGACAAGGTGAAGAGGAGCTGCGGAAGAGGAAGACGGACTCGCATAGACTCCGCACTCGAGGTTCCCAAGACAGGCATTCCATTGCCCCCCAAAAATCGATTGACTTCATCAAGGAGTTGTCGTAGCAATCGTCCATCCTCGCTCTCGACACGAAGGTACAAATTGAGGAAAATAAACAAATCTTCAAGTGAAAAAAACGTAAGGCCAAAATCACGGGAGCTACTTGAGGGAATAGTTCCTTCAGAAGTTACTGGTGCTTGTGGAGGTGCTCTACCATCCACAATTTCAGAATCCTCCACGATACAATATCGTTTCAAAGGATAATCCCCCAAAGAGCCCGTGTGGGGCTGCAGCGGGGCGCGAAGAAAGCTAGATAAGGGGCCTAGAACATTTTGGAGAGTCTGAAAGCAAAGATATGCCCGCCGATCATCTCGTGTTTTTATGGGTAAAAGAGTCGGAAGTTGCTCCCATTCCGAGTGGAGCTCATGTGCGGTGCGCACGAGCCTTTCTCGCGCACTTCGTTTCTCGGAGTTCTCTTCTTCGGTGATGCCGAGACGCGTGAGTTGCGTGTTGACGTAATGCGAGGAAGAAACCCATGCGGGGTTTTCTCCCGGTTTGTGGGGGCGCTTCGCCGACCCACATTTCGGCGTTCCTGCCGTTGCCGCTACTCGTTTTGGGACGACTGCCTTCACGGAGGGGTGGTGCGTGCGACGCCCCTGCCGAAAGTAGTTCGGGGTCCACGCCAGCTTGAAAGAGCGTCGGAGCATGGCCTACAGCTAGAGTATTTCCTCCACACACAGCTATCACTAACGCCAATACTCTCCTCTAGCGGACATAAAAGTTTCTTGGCTGGCAAACCTACCTATCACGCACGAACAAACGCACGGGATAGGGGAACACTATTTCAGACTTTAAAAAAAAACACGCGTAGACGTATATGAGAGAAGGAACCTATTTCATGTCAGGAGAGCAGTTGAAAACGGTGTATAAGAATATGGAAGCGGTATTTCTTCCTTTAGTATCTATCAGGAACTTTAAAGATTTTCTATTAGCGGATTATTTTAGTATGGAACCTTAGAAAGGTATTGCAGCGCACATTCAAGCCCTAAAAGGGGTATAGTATTATTATCTCTTCGCGATGTCGTTTTCTAATTCGTAAAGATGACGACTGAGATGCACCTCTTTGATGTCCGCTAAGAGTATGGTTATCAATTTGAGCGAGCCAGGTACCTTAATAGTTAGACGATCATTTAGAGTTAATTTCCTGCTCTTCGGGATAATGGGGAAGACAATATTTCCCTTGGCGTCACGGGGCTTTTCCTCTTTCTTTTTTACTGCTAAGCGCTTGGCAATCGTGAGAACAAGCTCCACCATTCCTCCACGGTTCGACAGAAACGCTTTTAAAAGCCCCAGCGTACCGCAGTTCCAATGGAAATTGATTTCTAGGAGGTGTTTTCGCTCATACATGCAGTGCGCACTAGGCGCATCGACTTTCTGAACGTCGCCCACGATGAGTCGGCCATTGTGAAGTCGAACCAAATCCCATGTACGCATGATGTCAACAGCCTCTCCGATTTGTTGCTGCAGGTCGCGATCCAGAGCAGCTTCACACGGAACGTGGAAAGCGGATGGCGAGCGGCGCAGAAAGGATGGCAAGAGAAAGTGCCACTTCCCACGCGACGAGACGACTTCGTTGGGAGCCTCCAGAGAGATGTTACCCTTCAATGCCTCACAGGCGAACGTGCGAAAGTCGCTGAGCGTAAATACGTACTTCTTAGCCTTCACCGTAGCAGGGTCGAGCTTCACGCGGGGGTTGGTAAACACGACAATCGGTAGCACACACAGCCCACACTGCTTATGAAGCGATTTGTCCGTATACCAGGTGCCCGTGTGCTTGTTACCACTTAAAGGCGCATCTTCAGGAGAATTATCCGCCTCCATTTCACTTCCTTTGTCGCGTGGGGCATTAGAACCAACACCACGGTAGGATTGACCACTGTTCTTTTCAATCCCCTGATCTTTCCCACAAAGAAAGGGTAAATCTGGAAGTGGGATACGACGTGTGTTCTCAATGTACCGTCGCAGAGCCGCTGCCTTGACTCTGTTATCCTCCATGACATCCTCAAACTCCAATGTTTGCTTCATTCTGCTGGGCATTTGGAACCAACGGGGGCCGTTGCTCCACACGTAGCCTTGCCAATGTTTCACCTCCACGACAAGAATCACCTTCCCGACCGCGATCACGTCAATCTCACGATTGTGACCGACGCGCGAGACGGGCACGCGGCGCCGAAGGTAAATATACTTCCACCCCGCCTCTCGAAGGATCTTCTCGACGGACTCTTCTGCATCAATGGCACCAAGGTAGATTCGATCGCCCCTTGAAAGCTCCTCATTTTCGGTGTAATACCGCATCGCGCGCGTGCGCAACATCGAGCGGTACACTCTCTGTGAGAGAGCAATCGCCACACCCACCGTCGCGACGACGACAACAGCTAGGACAATATAGAAAAGGTCATCGGCGGCCGCTGCGAGGCGGAGGAGTCCATTTGTAATACCTCCCGAAGCGATGTAACTCATTGTACGCTCGGAACCTTCTTGATTCTAAGGAAAAAGCGGGCCGACACACATAGACTAGCAACCACTGTCAACGTCTAAGGCGTCGAAATGAGATGTAAGAAAACAAGAGAACCAAGCACTGAAGGGAAAATAAGTAGACAGTAGAAAAAAACCCACAAGCTCTGAAGGACGAACTTCCCCCAACATGTAAACAAAGTGTCTTAACTTCGAATGTAGCGTGAACTACTCTGAGAGAGCCTTGCCCCTTCCATTGCCCCCTTGTATTTCCGGAATGGTAAATAAACTTTTGTAATCAACATAGCACTTCTTGATGCAACTACAAAGGTAAAAATGCTTCTATATTTGAGGCTCCTGTTATTTAGCGAGGGCTCATTTTTTATATTTTGAATCCTCTTTTTCGTAGTTGACTTCGGCGAGCAGATCAGCAAAGGTTTTGGGATCGATAACGAGAATTTGTATATTATGTTGTTCTACACCCGCTGACTCTAATGCAAGACAGAGACGGAGTGCCAGAATATGCTTACAACACCAAACCTTTTTCCGCCGCACCGACTGATAGGCGTAGGCTGAACATGGGCAGTAATACTCCGAAAGCAGTATATGCTCACCAACGCGATAGATATATCGTGCAGTGGATAAAGATGTACCTGCCAAAGTACGACGGGGGGATTCTTCTTCATTCTCGGTTGTTGGTTGTGCGTTTGGGAGTGAGGGCATGTGCGCGGCGCAAATATTATCCTCAACATAGCGAACAACAGACTCCTTACCATGCAGTGCGATGCTGAGTGCGGAGAGGAAAGTCTTTCCGTGAAGAAGTTCAAGTGGGGCTAAGGCTTCTTTCACAGAAGCCGGAGCAACTTTGTCCTGAGGCTGGCTGGGATGGGGTGTGCGAAGGGGCGAATTCGCTGCCTGTAACGCCATGTAATTGGAATAGCTTTCCAGTACTTGAAGCGTCAGGAGCTGGGTAATGTCCTCAACATGTCTTGGAAACATCTCCCCTCTTCCATGGGAGAGTCGCTAGCATATTATCCAGTAGCGAAGGAGTAGATGGATTAAAAAAGAAGCATATCAGATGGGGCGTGAAACTAAAAAGAGAAGCAGTATTTCCATCGCTCTTGTGATTAGGAACAGGATACAGACAGATACTTAACCAGAGAACGTGTATATGAAGTGAATGAGTTGCAACAAAAAAGCGCCTACTGACTCCGTGGTAGGGGTTGCACATTGCTTCCCGATGATTCGCGCTCAAAAGTAACTCAGCTTTAGTAATCTAGTGTCGTCTCCTTCGCTCATCGTCTCTCTTGACGTGATCGCGCTTCAAGTCGTAGCGACGCCCGCCCCTCCCCACCTTATCTCCTCCTCGACCGCTATCTCGATCTCGATCGCGGCGCTCACGATCTCGTCCTTTGCGGTCGTCGCCATAACGATCGGCGCGGCGGCTTTGGTGGTGATGCCGTCTGCCTTGTGAGCGCTCTTGGTGGCGATCGGGGCTTCGGTGTTTTTTGCGGTGCCGTTCCTCGGACCGCACCACGTTCCTCCGATGCAGCTCCTCCGCCGCTTCTTTGCGGCGTTGCTTTTGAACCTGCCGCAGATCCTCATACTCGAAGTCATCCTCGTCGTCGGAGGCGGAAAAAGACGAAGATGCGGATTCCTCATTCTCAGGCGGCCTTGGCGACACACGAAGGGGTACGCCTGGATCGTGCGCGATCGCGGGTGGTTCAGGATACGGCAGACCGATCGCGCCGAGGAGGTCGGCTCCGTTTGACCTTTCCACAGCCGGAGGATGATGATGCACGGGCAAGTTCGAGGGGGCCGCGAACGAAGCAGTTGCGGGAGCGGAGGTCTTTTTTCCGAGTTTCGAATCCATCTCGTCGTACTCGCTCGCAGCGAGGTGACCTGCACTAGCCTCAGCCTTCCGGTCCTCATTGCCTTGACGGGCCCCCTGTGCGAGGTCGGATTCGCGTTGGGCCGCGAAAATCTTTTCCATTATCGTACGATACTCTACCTTTGGCATAGTGGCCCGGATCGCGTGCAGCTCCTCCTTTGAGGAAACCTCAACCCCCCCTAGATAACCCTCATACGCGGCTTGAATTCGCTCCAGGACATCGTCCGGGACGCCAAGCGCGACGTTCCATCGCTCCGGCAGCGTGATCCCCCCTGGGCAACTCCACTTAATCGCGAACGCCGCCAGTTCGATCGCCTGGAACTGCGCTAGCATCTCGCAGCGCGGTGCATCGTTAATCCATGAGATTGCTCTGCTAAGCCAGCTCGTGAAGGCCGGCGAAGCGGCCCCATTCTCGGCCTTTGTCGAAGCCTTGTCCTCGACCAGTATGTTGAGAAAGATCACCGCGTATTTATGTGGACACTCCACGAAAGTTTGGAAGCCGATCTGCTGAAGGAGGACCTCTTCCGCTTCAACGACACAGGCCTTGAAGTCCTCGTACCGCTCAGGGGGAGGCTTGAGGTAAATCATTGAGGAGATCCCACAGCGGCGCTGGCTAAGCCGCATGAAAACGTTCACGACATGCCGAATGCGAATCCCCGGATCCTCCATTTTGACCGCGACAAGCAAACACGCAGCGGCAAGAAACCCAACATCCTCGTGGTCAATAATATGGCTAACACAATAATCAAGGGGTGCAAATAGATCCGCCAGGGGCATCAGGCCTGAAACCATTTCGTGGCCAACATGGTTTGGAATCAAGTACTCTACCTTATCGCTTGAAGCACAGCCAATTTGGTTCTTCGAAGAATATTCAGCCAAACTACCTTGTAGACTCCCCCCTTCCACAGGAGACGACCCTCGTGCTTCCTCGATTAACCACTTCGTTTCCTCAGACGATAGGTAACGGGAGCGAAAGTTAGCATTAATACACCTTTGGAGGCGTTGGAAGAGTATGGAGGCCCTGAAAACGGCGGAAGGGGTTGTACGTAGGAGTAGCCCTGCAGTTCTAATTAAATCGACACCATAGGCATTGTAGGCTCGACGCGCTTGCGCTTCATTCCACATTTTTTGGATGACGAAATAGAATATGGGGGGAGGGTAAGGCAATGTGAGGGGGCTTAACTATGCTACTATTGATTAGCGTCTTTTTAATGTATTGACCTGCCCAACGCAGAGCGATTCAGCTAAAAGGATGTGTTTCTCAAAATAAGAGAGAGTTACTCCGAAAAAAAATTAAGAGGGTAGCGAAAAGGCACGTAAAGAAGATAGCTGTGCCTAATAGTAAGAAGACAACCAGAGGATTTACAAAATTATAAACATGAGGCTTAAAAAAAAAATAATGATAGTGTCAATACGATATTTAGCACAATATTGTGTCGTTTATGAATGCATAAAAATAGGAACACTTTATCGTAGCTTCTCATTTCATACCACTTCTCCCGTTATATTGCTACATGTCGCCATGCTCCTCATTCGCGACACGATGAAGCTCCTCAAATTCTTCCTTATTCAGATCTGCCGCTTTCGGATCCACCTCCTTCGCCATATCTGGGTTGCGAGTCTTGAAAGCCTCGACAAGTTTTTGCATATCTTCCTTACTGAATATATCGGGCTCCTCTTCCGCATCGTCACGTGAGGAATATATCGTACGCTCCAGTCTTAGATCATCTTCCGTAATTTCCTCTGCCTTGTCTGACAAAATTTGTTCGAGCAAAGAGCCATCTGGTGTTGGCTTGTTCAAGTCGTGCTCAAGTTTCTCCTTGTACTTCATATGGGCCATACAAAAATCCAAAGGTTGGCAGATCTCACGAGCCATCTTATTGACCAGTTTCAAGTCGGCGATGTTGTCGAATTTCTTGGCATTTGCAAGAATAATGGAACTGAGATGATCCATTCCTTCATTATCCATAAGTGCTTGACAAGCCTCTTCAACCGAACGGCAGGTGCGCTTACAGACTGCAAAGAAGTCCAATACATCTATGTAACCCCTACTCTCGATACCACTGCTCGCATTTGTCGTAGTCGTAGGGGAAAGGGGTATTTTCAGGACAATGCGACGTATCCACTCGCCCCTCGTCGTGAAGGGTGTGCAAAGCTCATCCATGATCTCGAGAACATCTTCCTCGTTCAGCTTGAGGGATTTTGATTCCTTTTCTTCGCGTACTGCTTGAACTTGAATCGCAAGGTTCGCCAGGGCGTGAGTGCACACATCGCAACTGATGGCATCCTTCACCTGCTGTGGAAAGGGAGCATGATAAGGAAGCTCCTTTTTGCATTCTGCACTCAAGGCATTTATCGATAACATTACTCCAATCAGAAGGCTGATAAATCCCACTGAAGATAATGAGAGTCCACCTATAGTGCGTCCCAGGACCATTTTGAATATCCGTTCTGTTGCGAAATGTGAAGCCTTTTTTTTTGTCGATTAAATTAGAGAGAATCTTTTCAATACAATCAAAACCTATGGCAAAAGGATCTCGGAGAGATCAAAAAAATTAGGTAGAAAATTGAACTTGTCCTCAGTACGTTAGATTTTTCCCTTATTCTCCATTTACATTGTTGTTTAACTAAGTAGATGTTGATGTTCATAGTGACGCATGTCAAACCATTCTAGGATCAAACCGTAAGCCGATGGATCCGACAATGCGAGCCACCAACAGGGTAAACGACTCATGGTAGAGAAGACCCCTAAACCTGATTATCTAAGGAGCTATATATATATATATATATAATAGTAAAAATTATCCTTTGTTGTTCAAGGCAGCAATTTCCGCCTGAAAAACACCAACTCATTGGCTTCCAGTCATGAACTGCGTAGACTTCGTGAGCGGTCCCCGCGCGCGGCGCTCTATCTCCAGGTTCTTTGCTTTACTCTGCTCAATCATTTCCATACTGTGCGTCCTCTCCGACTCCTTTTCTTGCATCAACTGCAAGCGTGCTTCTTCTAGCTTTGGTAAGACCTGCTGCCCGACTGTATCGAGCTCATAGTCGTAAAAGAAGTGGAATATTATTGTTCGGATAAAATCGGGTGTGGTTTCCTCCCGCGCCAAATCAATGGCCCACTTCGTGAGATATTCAAGTGTAGGTTCTGTTTTCCGTATGAACTTTTCTTCAATCGCATTGACGTATGCCGCTGGCGGAAAGTGAGTTTTATTCTGAAATTCTTTCTTAATGAGTCTGGCATAGCGATCAGTAGAGAAGGGGTTGCTGTTAAAATGGATAAGTCCCTCCTCACACACGTCTCCGGGAGCTGGCGTCCGCCTCCTGCGCCACCAATTCAAGGGATTTAGCAAAGATCGCCATCCCTCGTGACTTTTGCTTGGCAGAATGCCGTTCAGTAGGAGCTGCATCTCTTTTTCGAGCTGTGGACGCCGCGAGTGTGGCAAGCCACCATCAACCGATCTACGAAGTTTGAGCAGTTCATTATCCTCCTCCACGAGTTCCTCTGCTTGGGTTTGAATTAGATTACTGAGAATCTTCGCTGCCCCTGGGGCAAAGTCCATCGCATGATCACCAAAGCCGGAGCAGACAAACATGTTAAATGCACCGCCATTGTGATCCACGAGCGGTACCCCGTCTGGAGTGAAGCCGCGAGTATATTCTTCGACCTTAACACACTGCTCACGAGAGCTATCATCTGTTTCAGCGTGCTTGATGCCTTCATCTACGGTGTTGTCTCGGGCATCAAGCAATGGGACTTCCATGCTGCATTTGACGCGTAGGTACGCTTCAAGCCTCGACAGGACTGTGAAAACGGCGGTAGGGCGATGTTTTTGGAAAATGTTGTTAAAGGAAAGAAGCCCAGTAAGGTAGTATTGTTCGCTCCCACTAGACACGGTGTTCCCGTTCTCGTGTTCCGACTCACGAGGGTCTTTGCTAAGCGCACTACTTTCAGGGGATGCCTTTGCAGAGGCATCGCCGTGGTTATCCCTCCCTGAATGCGCGAGGCAGTAAGCGTAAAGACTACAGGGACCGGAAAGTTGCGTTAAAGAAGAGGAGCACGCGGCTTTATTCACCGGAAACAACTGTTTAATCGCAGTCGAGAGAGGCCCTTTGAGACTTGAGAGGGAAACAGCACATCCAGAAAGGGGCAAGATTGGGAACCGGGAGGATTGAGTTGTCATCACTCCTGTCTGAGCGCCTGTGGCGAGCACGACGACATCGAACATGTGCTCACGAAAGTCTCGTGACTGAGTCGCGTTCGCAGGAGCCTCCACAGAGGTTCGGATGCTTCGAGTGACCTCCACATTGTACTTAAGATACGTGTTGGCGCTTTCCCAGCGCTCTGAGAGGGCAAACTTCACACGGTATTTCTCTGCGCAAACCCTGGCGAGGGCTCGGGTCCAGCCAACGGGGTCCACCATAACGGGTGAGGAATGTGCGGTCTTGGCGGGAACAACGCGAAAGACCTCCCGTCGCGTATCGCCGTCGGTCGTCTCGCGGACCACCTTGTGGACGGGGACGTTCTCGCAGAGGAGGTGTTCGCGCAGCGTGGGGTGTCGCCTCGCGAGCTCCAACACGACGGCCACGCTCAGGCGGGAGAGGTTATCGGTGCAGCGCATTACCTCCTCCCCTGAGGCCCTGCTCCGGCGCCGAGCCGCGAGCCACGTGTAGAGCGCGGGCTGGAAGACGGTGTGGAGCCAGTGGTCCCGGCTGAGGATGTCCGGACAGGCTGACGAGAGCCCTCCTTTTAGGAGTTCATCAAGCAGCCTCATCCGCGCCAGCGAGGGCTCCAGCAGGCCGACACCGGTGAACGGGAGGGCGAAACGCGTCCCGCCGCCTGACGCGACGGTGGTGCCCTGCTCAAAGACGGTGACGTCAAACCCGAGTTGCGCGAGCTCGTACGCGACGTGCACCCCCGCGATGCCGGCGCCGATGACAGCCGCGGTAGGGGAGGAAAGGTTGAAGTCCTTTAAAAGCCCATCACTGTCGTCGGGGGTGGCAAACAAAAGGGGCTTCGCTCCTGCATACGATATGGAGGTGCCCATTCGCTCACAGTGGTGCTATGGTGTGAAGATAAAGGTCTATATGGAGTAGGTAGGGGGAGGTGATGGTAGTAGATACCCGTCACACTTCGATTACCTACACAATGGAGAAAGCAAATGCTTTTTTTTTACCCTATGCCCCACTTTCTTTCCAGTTTGCTGTTCGTGAAGCGTCACCCGTGATCAGCAATGGGGGAGTTGCCGTGTGAGTATTTATTTTTCTGTCTTTGTTGTAAATTTTCAAATGTGTTCATCAAGGAATGGAAATAAGATACAATACATCCTAGAACAAAAGAAACACAGGACGCCATAATAGATACCCAGTCGACTATTCTTTATGCGTTTTATCACCTCACCTTGGTCGACAAGCATGCACAATTGCAGAGGAAGGAATTCTTTAATGAACAAGACAATCCGCATTCAATGCAACGACGCACACAAATGTACTTAGATTATTACTTTACAGTTGGTCTAATGTAGAATTTTGTAGGGAGGGAAGAGTATCTTAACGCATCAAATGGCGTGCCTAGAAAGAGATTTCTTTTACAACCGACCTCTTATTTCTCCCCCCCCCCGGTCTAGTTGGCAGGTATGAAAAAGTTGGAAGCCGCCTCACTTAACCACTCTTCATAAACCACGGACACATCCTTCATGTAACGCTTGTTGGTCCACACAACACTGTGGAAAATAACCAGTGCCGGCTTCTTCCTATGCGAAAAGAGTACACTAGAGGGGTGCAAATGTACCACTTGCTGTCCCACAACGGTCTTGTACATACCAATTTTTGCATCAAAGTAGGCTGTATTTAAGAAAAGACCAGCACACAGGGCGCGCCGCAGTAGCTCGTAATCCCGCCATTTGGGTTTTCCCGGAAACGCATCGCCGTTTGACATCGCCGTACCAGACAGCGGCCAGTCGTCAATTTCGCCCATCTCATGAGGATCGCAAAGATTCGATTCGACAGCACCGTCATACTCCTTGTCCTCCTCACGCAGACGCTTTGCATGGAAGAGTGACTTGGAAGATCCAGACAGGACTCGTTTCCTAGAATTTTCCATGCCATTAGAGGTAATGAGGTTACGTTTTTGGTGGATCTCGTCATCACCCTCCGGTTGCGCCAGGAGAATAGCCGTCAGTTGCGTTTTGATATCCTCAGCCTTTAGCATCTGTTTGTAGCTTATGCCGTTCATCTCACACCAAACCTTACGATTCTTCTCTGGGGTCCGACAAAAAGCCTGGTAGATGCTCAAAAGCGTCGCGTGGTCTCCTGCTGACTTCGCGAAAGATGCCCTACACCTGTCCGATCGCTCTCTGTATTCCTGTGAAGTCAAAAACAGGTTTTCAGTATTTGTCAGCGCCACCACAGCAATAGCATCTCGCTCGACGCCAATGCGCTTTGCCGCCAGCAACGTCATGGCTGAAGTCGGCTCAATTGGGAAATCGGTTAGCCTTTTTCCCAAAGGCGTGATTTTGCCGTGGCTATCTAAGGCTCTCAGAAGGAGCAACATTTCTTCGGCCTTTACCACAGAGGACGCCCGTGGCGGGTCCATAAACTCAAAATTTAGAATGTCTTCGATCCCGAGGCTTTTCATCTGGAGTACAACACTGACTAGACTGCTCCGACGAATCTCGGGGGTCGTATTCTCCTGCAGCGTTTCAAAGGCTTCGGCAGTGTATAGACGAAAGCACTTTCCCGCTGACATACGACCGGCCCGCCCGCTTCGCTGGAGAGCCTGCGCACGGCTAATATCCACCTCGACAAGAGCTTCCATTCCTGTCTTGCTGCTATAGTACTTAGCCTTGACTACACCAGAGTCCACAATGTACTTGATCCCCTCGACGGTGATGGAGGTTTCCGCGATGTTGGTTGCGAGGATGACCCTGCGGCAGCCACTTGGCGCCGTATCAAAGACACGCAACTGTTGTTCATACGGCATCGCTGAGTACAAAGTCAGGACGACGAACCCAGGGACATCACTCTGGAGCATCTTCACCCGGCTCTCTAAGATGCGCTTCGCGTCCTCGATCTCCTCCTGCCCTGTGAGAAAGCAGAGGACATCGCCGGGCTCCTCGTTCAAGTGGATTTGCATGATGGTGCTGACGCTCGCCTCGACGTAGTCGGCCTGTGGCTCCAAGGTGTGCATGATGGTGACCGGGAACGTCCTGCCGTGGACGACACCGATGGGGGCATTCCACCAGAACGCGCGGAACTGCTCTGCGTTGAGGGTGGCAGACATTACCACGATCTTGAGGGCCTGTCTACGGCGCCGCACGATGGCCTTAAGCAACCCAAAGAGAATATCACCATGCAGGGTGCGCTCGTGGGCCTCGTCTAGGATGATGCAGCTGTACTTGCCAAGGTCCGGGTCGGTTTGAATTTCGCGAAGAAGAATACCGTCCGTTAGGTATTTGATCTTTGTGGCGTCAGTACAAACGTCATCGAAACGCACGGCGTACCCAACCTCGCCACCCAGCTTCGCATTGCGCTGCTTCGCAACATGTCGTGCGATACTCACCGCAGCAACGCGTCTAGGTTGCGTGCAACCCACAATGCCCCGCTTCTCTGGGGGATACTTTGAGACAATGTCATCCCAGACGTACTGCGGGATTTGCGTGGTCTTGCCGGATCCAGTTTCTCCTACAAGGACTACTGCCTGATTTTTCTTGATCAGCTTCAAGATGGCTTGTCGGGCCTCGGCAACCGGTAATGCGCCCGTGTTCAACGTCATCACCATGCCCCGTAGCAGAAAAGGGGAACGAGATATCCTCTAAAAAGGTGGGGTTAAGATGCTTGAGAGCGCTTAGTTTTGTGTACGCGTACAAGAAAAGGGAAGTTTGCGAGGGAAGGAGAGGTAACCAACAGATTCAATAGTAATACCAATTATGAATGCGATTGGGGAAAATAAAAAATAAACTGGCTATACTTTCTGCTGCAAGGGCATAGCGCTAAGGCCCTAAAAAGATCCAATTCGATTGCGTCGACACTTTTCTTCAGAGTCCCTCCTTTGCTCACCATTTTCTGATATACTTTCAGAAGGTTTAGTAGAGAAGCCATACGACTCATCGACCGGATTTTATCAGATCCGAAGCATCCGCTCAGGAAGGCAAATATTCAAAGGTAAATTAAAGAGACATCGAGAGGTGGAGTGGCATGAGATAAGTGTATGTGTAACAACACAACCCAGATGCTGGTTCTCGATACTTCGCACTTGTTGATCTTCCGTCAGTTGCACAACAAAGCAATATTTCCACCAAACTGGTACTCAACGGGGATTGTATCAAAGAAGTGATGTATTTGATAGGCGGTGTAAAGGTATAACGGGATATCAACAGGCTGAAGTCGTGCCCAATCCGCACGGGCGGCGTCCCCCATAGGTGTCTTGACTTTGAGGGCAGTAGAAAGGAGCTGGTGCGCAGGGTAAGTGATTTCCGCCCACTGATCCGCAATCGCAATTGCGAACACAAACGGCACCGTTCGTCCTTTGAAGATTGATGGTAATCGTTCGTGGAACATCTTAGAGAACACGTACAGGGGCGGTGCAACGATACAGAACGGTTGCAGGAACATTTGGTACTTCATAAAGCGATAGGATGCCCAGAAACTTCTCTCTTCTCTAGTTGATGGCAGTTCATCCTGCATGCAGATGCGCCGGCAGTTATCCATGAGAATTTTAATGTTGCGTATCTTGCTACGTGCGTGTCGCTCGCTAGGGATGGCGTCAAGCGGAACGCGATACCGCAACCCGCCGCTGCCTGCCCAGCTTCGCGTACTCGGGTCGTACGCGTCCAAATCATTTTCCTGGAGCGTTGCTGCCACCTCAAAGGAGGTGTTCATCCCACCAAATATCAACTTGATGAGATCATCTGCAAAGGCTGTAATAACGCTGGTCAGGTCCATAAGAGAGGGGACGTTATCCCCAATGCCAGTTTGATAGCGTGACATGACCGCTACAATTCCTACCGAGTATGAGTTCCTCACTGCGAGGCTGCAGACGGGAAGAGTGAAATATTTTCGGAAAGGTTGGGGAAAAAAGTTTTGAAAAGTTTCTGTATCAGTATGCATTTCTTTACTTCATTATATATATCCAAGGAAGCTGCAATGAGGGAGGTCTAACTCTTTTTTTATTTCTTTGGCTTTGGTAATGTTTCTTCAAGCCTTTTATGCAATACTCCCTTTTTTTCCAATAGAGTTGGCATAGGCCAATGATCCCAAGGAATCACTCCAACGGTTCAGCAAAATCTAGTTCCTTGTCAGCCGACCTCGGGTAAAAATCGGTGATACTAAAGGGAAGTGTGTGCTTGATTGGGCAAGGGAGAGCTAGTTTCACATCTTCGGATTCCTTTCAGAAATCCTTGATGACCCCGGAGTGAAGCTCCATCATCCTTGTCGCGGGCTCGCTAGGTGCCATTGGCGTATAATAAATTCGCCTACCACGCACACCGCGTAAATATTCGGTGCGAGGTTTGTTTTCTAGAACCCAAGGCGAATTTTTAAACTTTTCCTTTAAGGTTTTCAGATCGCGCATTTCTAAAGATGAGTATGTATCCCTTAATGTAGGTGGAGTTAGATTAATGTTTTCACGCGGTCGTGCAAAAGCGTAGCTGCGATCCATGCGACGGGCCGCCAACTCCGTCATGCGTAGCAGTTCATCGCGCTTGTCAACACAGCGCATATCGTCGCAGATTTGCGCCACACGCAGCATCACCGCCACAGAATCCGGGTGTGAGTGCGCACAGGCCTGCGCAAATTTAACACACCCCTCGGCGTATTGTAAAAAGGTATCCTGATCAGCCGCCGGAAGGCTATTGAACTCTTTAATTTGCCCCGATAGACGCAACTCGCTAAAGCACTCCAGGGCTTGGAGGAGTAATTTGGTCTTGTCGAAGCCACGATCACTATCGCGCACCTTCCACCGCGCCTTCATTATCCCAGCGAGGGCGTCCAGGCGTTTGGCTGGCGGAAGGTCCTCGAGCCGGTTTGTAGAAAACAGAAATGTATCATTTTTACTATCATCGCGATATTCCCCAAAGTTCTCGGTAGCCTCGCGTTCGTGGGCGAACTCTGAGACGAGTTCGTAGTTGTTCCCCCCTGTTAGCCACCAGTTACGTGCGAATCGCCGCCGATCCTTGACGAGACTTTTGTAGCGAGCGTGGGGGTACTGGTGAAGGTTCCGCAAGGAGCATTTCTGTTCTAACAGTGGCGAGTAAATCTGAGGCAGGACGGTTGAGGAGGAAACCAGGCCTCCGCCGATTGAAATTCGACCACCACCGCCCCCGAGAGCCACGAGGCTGATTGTATACAAACGCTTCATCAGAACCACTTGTGGGCTGTTTGGGCCTGTTCTCCGTGCACTTTTTCCTTTTTTCCCACTTTCACACACTCAAAAACAAAAGCTTAATGAAGGAAAGTAAATAATCACGGACGGCTAAACGCGCAACAAAGAGAGGGGAGGGAGGAGGTAAATATCCAGAAGAGAAAAAAGATGCTGTTCATCATGGATATTTTTCCTGAAACCTAAACCAAATCTCAGAGGATGCCATAAAAAGAAGAATCACATATGGTATATATGCAATGCATGCCACGTCAAAAATCAGCATGCAGGCGCCCTTTTCGCACAGCCCTGAGCAAGGCATTATTGTCGCCAGCCCTTTTCTTTAAGGGTCGTCTTTCAGTTTTCTTCTTTTTCGTGTAAGAGGGCCCCTTGTTCGCCCCATCTACGGCTGGCGCCGTACCGTCGGCGTACCGCTTCTTCAGAAACTCAGCACGCTCCTTCGTTTGCTTAACATGAAACCGCTTTTTGTTGTAGTCATCATTCGGTATTTTCCTTGACGTTACGGGCAACGAGTCAGCACGGGTCCCACTCGTGGGGGAGTTCGCCACCACATCATCATCTCTGGTCGGCTCACCAGCACCTTTGTCCACCCAGGATTGGGAATCCGTGCTGTCCTCCACGTTTGCATCAAATGCAGCCACGTCAAGCCCTGTATCGTCGGGCTCGTCCTCATAAATAAGCTCGTTCAGCATTCGAATTTTGTCTTTGAGGTCTTCGTCGATGTTAAACGCAAGATTTGCCGCCGGAATGTCAATGTCCTCCTTGCGGTAACTGACAACCCCAGCGTAGGTGGTACCCCACATCGTGTTGTTTGCATCGCCCTCGCCCTGCTCCCCGTCGCCTCCGGAGAGTAGCTCGCAGAGATCACTGCCGAGGTAGAGGTGGAAATCAACCCCACGAAGAGTGTCGTCGAGATCCTCTTTCGTGACGGAGGCCTGCGGTGGCGCCGGTTCCGCAGATTCGCAATCCTCCACCGGCGCGTCCACAGCCCTTTCGGGAGGGGGGGAAGCGGCATTTAGCACATCCACAAGATGGGGTGGAATGTTATTTATACTGGCGTCAAAGATAAACTGTTCCACATCGCCGTAGTAATCTAGCGCTAAGCGGATGCCAGATACGCTAAACTGCGGAAATACTTCCCGGACCATCGCCACGCTGGTTTCCACGTCACCGGGGGGGTTGCCACTAGCGCTTGCGCAGGGTCCTTTGTCTTCGGAAAGCTTTACAGGGGCGTCAACAAAGGTGGTATTCGCCCTGCTTTCAATGCCCGCGCCCCCTACCATGTCATTCGCTGATTCCTGCAGAGGTCCTGAAAGAGCACGCGCAATGACATCTTCGCAGACCCCGAGTTTTTCTGCCTCGTGTATGGTTAAAAATTGCCTGCTTAGTAGTTCGTCAAACCGTACGCCTTGGTGAGTGAGCTCCAGAAGTAGAAGTTCGCCATAACGCTGGCGGCAACTTTCCCTGTTGAGAAGCTCCACAAAATCCTTACTGCCCTGGATTTCCTCAGACAGCACCGTCAGAATCACCTTACCGATTTGCGTGTCCTGGTCGTCCGCTGTTGCGGGAACTAACGTGCTAATTAGGGAGGGCAAATTTTTAAATACGTGGCGGCTGCCGAGAAGCTGCGCGGGCACCCCGATCGCGTACCGCTCGATAGCCTCCTGCAGCGCAGCGTAAGTTTCCTCAACTGGCTTGGGCAGCACCCAGGAACGATGCCCGGCAACATGGTCGAAGCGATGAAATAAAATCAGCAAGATCGACACGTTGAGGGCGGAGTTGATTAGGATCGAGTTGGCCTGCGACAAGATGTCTCGAATAGGATTCAGATCCTTGCATAGCATCACGAAATGCTGCAGGAGTGGCGAAATTACATCCACAACGATGCGCATGGCGCGTAGTACACGTGTGGTGCTCACATAATCCGCCAGAAATGGGCTACAGTGGAGTGCAGCCCATAGTTGTCTCACATGGCGAAAGCTCTGCTCGAGGAGGGGGAGGATATCTCCCGCCACGCGCTGAAAGCGACCTCGCTGGAGCTCTGACTTGCACCGCGTGGCAAGTCGGTTGATAGCATCATACCAGCCCATCATAAATAACGGCAAACGGCACAGATACCCGGGGTTCAAGAGAAAGAAGGAGCTCACACACACGGACGCGGCGGGCCCGCTCCGACGAAGCAACATCGCAGAAATCGAAAAGATTAGCGAGAGAGGGAGGATTTTATCAAGGCGCATAGCTAAGTTCATCACCCCGACATGGCGCCTCGTGCAAACCGCTGTGGTGGTAGCCAGTCGTATAAAAATAACACCTAGGGCGTGCTCATCCTCCTTTCGAATTGAACGACGGCGCGCGAGGGATGCTGAGCTGTGTGCCTGATCAACCGCCGTCACCAAATTGGTAAAGACGCTTGATAACCTATCGTGATGTGCTATAACTGTCCAGAACGTGATATCATCCGCCTCAGACAAGAGCCTAACGCTGCTCCACGCCTTCTCGGAGACGTCAGACGAGACGAAGAAACTCTTGGCGATGGCTTGACCCTCATCTTGAAAGGCCTCTGTTAGCATCGGAACTATTTTGCTATGAGCTAGAGATGCTCAATGAACGAAAAGCTATTTCCTATTGCAATGTATAAACAAAAAGAGTAATCAGATGGACAAAGCGTGAACCTTAGCAAGTAACAGTGACCATGACGACGTACAAATATAAATACGTATATATATTTAATTTTCAAGTGTATTCACTGAGGTTCTTTAGTATAATTATTCACTAAGGGAATAAATCACAGTTTCTTTAACAAAGGCCTTTATGTTAGATTGAGTTATACTCCATTAACACATACTTTTTACGCTTAAAGCGAAAGTACAACAATGAATTAACGACTTAAATATACTAAAGGAAAAATACTGGATTCCTATTGTTTAGTGATCTAAGGAATATAGGGAAAAAAAGAGCAACAACCTACCACTATGGTGTTTACTCAACTCCTATCACTGTCATGGTGATTTAGTGATTTTCAACTTTTCCCCTCTTTCACTTTTTAAAGAAATTCCTATGCCCTGGAAGACATATGTAGAAAAACTGTTCTACTTTATGCGGATGGTTAAAATTTCAATCATTACTAGCGTTGTATTTCACCTTAGTTCTTCGTGGCTGCTCTCGACTTCAGTAGCCTGTTACTAGTTTGCGGCCTCGGTAAAAACGAATTTAATGCCTATGCCTGAAATACTGCTCTCCTCTTCCAGGATAACCTTCGCGTTGGATGGAAGCTTATCCATAGTAGTCCATACCCCTTTCACAGTTTGATTGATCTGTTGCTTACATTTAGAGATCGATACTGTAAGATCCTCCTCTTCGCACGCGAAGTAAACGTCAACCTTGTCCGAAACGACTAATTTTGCCTTTTTACGAAGCTGCTGCACACGGTTAACAAACTCACGAGCGCGCCACGAGTCCACCAGTTCCTGATCGTCGCGCTTGTCAACTAAGACGACGACATCTTGGTCGGTGTTGCTCTCAAAGTCGACAATCCCCTCTTTGAATTTCCGAAGGACCTTGACGTCGTCCATCGTGAGCTCGTGGCCGTCGACTTTACCCCCCTTGTTGTGGATAAAGCTGGCGACTTGCTCCGGGGTCATGGCCTTAATGGCCTTCCGAATCGGGACAATGCCATTGCGAAGTCGCTTTCCGAGCACCTCAAAGTTGACATCCAGCCATGTTTCGATGTACTCCGTACCGGAAGACAGGTTCACCTCAAAGGCGTTCACCTCCTCTTTGATGTAAACCGCCACCTTAGCGACGTCGTCCAGGTAGGTTTGCTCTGGGTGTACGATGATGACTTGGCGTACAGGACGCTTGATTGGAATCACCATGCGGTCGCGCAGCACTCGTACGAGGTCGACAACCGTCGACATACGGCTCATCGCCCGCTCCAGGTCTGCGTCCATCACGCTATCGTCGTCCTCAGGGATAGAGAGGTAATGGATAGAATCCACTTGGTACTGCTCGGGCAGGAGTACCTTGATGCGCTGGAATAGAATTTCGGAAATGAAGGGGGTGATATGCGCAATCACACGTGAGACCGTAAACAAAACCGAAAGCATCGTGGACAAGGCGCAAGAGCGATCCTCGCCATCACTGGTGTTTTTCATGCGCCGTCGATTCATCCGAACATACCACCTCGATAAGTCAACAACAAAACGTAGAATACCAGGAACAACATTGTAAAGGTGGTAGACCTTCATCTCGGCGCGGACGTAACGCACAAGCGTCTCTGTTGAAGCTAGGATCCAGCGATCCATTTCGTTCGTGCTGTGCTTATCCAGGGATACGGTGCCGCCGGCTGCAATACAGTAATTGGTGTTCGCAATGAAAAACTTTGTCGCGTTGAAGAGCGGTAGAAGAATATCCTTGACAACCTCCTTCACCCCTGACTCGCGGAAGCGCAGTGGTTCAGCACGGACGACAGGGGAGTTAATGATAAACATACGAAGCGCATCAGCACCGTATTGATTAATTATAAGGGACGGCTCAGGGTAATTTTTTAAGCTCTTACTCATCTTCTTTCCGTCTTCTGCGAGGACCAAACCAGACACACAAACGTTCTTGAAAGGACAGACATCGAAAAGCGCTACGCCAAGCACCAGCAAGGTGTAGAACCAGCCGCGTGTTTGATCAAGGCCTTCCGCTACAAAGTTAGTCGGGAACAACTCCTTGAAAAGTTCTTGATTCTCAAACGGGTAGTGCTCCTCGGCGTATGGCATTGAGCCGGACTCGAACCAGCAGTCAAACACCATTGGCACCCGCCGTAACGGCTTCCCACCTGGGCGCTTGCTGGGAATCGTAATCTCATCTACAAAATGCCGATGAATGTCCGTAATACCACTCCTTCCCGATAGCCGCTCGAGCTCCGCGATGCTGGACACCACCACGACCTCCTCCCAGTCCTCACTATGCCATATTGGCAGCGGGGTACCCCAGTAACGGTTCCGCGAGACGTTCCAGTCGCGGGCGTCCTCGAGCCAGTTCGCAAATCGCCGCGTCTTGACAAAGTCGGGCACCCAGTAGGTTGCGTCTGTTGCCGTAAGCAGGCGATCTCGGATGGATTTAACCTTCACGAAGAACGCGTCGACGGCTTTGTACAGTAGTGGTGTTTCGCTGCGCCAGCAGAAGGGGTAGCTGTGAACCACGGAGCCCTTGTGGAAAATATGGCCCCTGGCTTCAAGCGCTTTGATAATATCGGCGTCGCAGTCCTTAACATAGCGTCCGACGTAGTCCGTCACCTCCTTTGTGAAAGCTCCGTTTTCATCGACCGGGCAGACTACATTTCCATCCTCTTCAATAATACCATGTTCGAGGCAGGCGTTGTAGTCATCCTCACCGAACCCGGGGGCCTGGTGCACAATGCCAGTTCCACTGTCTGTCGTCACGTATGTGGCCGACACGACGCGGAACGCGTGATCTTTGAGTTCCTCGTAAAAGTAAGAAAACAGTGGGACATACTTTTTCCCTACAAGCGCCGATCCTTTGACCTTTTCCAACACCTTAAAAGGCTCCGAGGTGGAGTCCTCCGCGGCTGAGCCTTGATCCTTCTTTTTAGAACTCTTCGGCTTGGGGTAGAGCCCTTGCAGCAAGACCTCAGCGACGTAGTAGTGGCGGCCCGATTTTGTATCTAAAAACTTGACGTAGTCTACCTCCTCATGGACGCACAGCGAAAGATTGCTAGGGAGCGTCCAAGGCGTGGTCGTCCACGCCAGAAAGTACGTGTTAGGCTCGTCCTTGGATTCGAATGCGACCGTGATGCAGCAGTCCGTGACGTCCTTGTAGTTCAGGTTCGCCTCAAAGTTGCTGAGAGGCGTCGTGCAGCCCGTGGAAAAGGGCATAACGCGGAAACCACGGTAGACGAGCCCCTTCTTCCACAGCTCCGAGAACACCCACCAGACGCTCTCCATATAGGACGCGTTCATCGTCTTGTAGTCGTTGTCGAAGTCAATCCAACGCCCCGTGCGCGTCACGGTGGTGCGCCACTCCGAGGAATACCGCATCACGATCCTGCGGCACTTCTCGTTGTAGTTAGCAATGCCGTAGTTCATGACGTCGTGCGAGGTTTTGATGCCAAGCTTCTTGTCAATCTCGAACTCGATGGGCAGGCCGTGGCAATCCCAACCGAAGCGAGGGTAGACGTAGTGCCCGGTTTGGTTCGCGAATCGTACCACCATATCCTTGATAGTCCCGGCTAAGATGTGGCCGTAGTGCGGAAGACCAGTGGCAAAGGGAGGACCGTCGTAGAAGGAAAACCGCTTGCGACCTTCTGAACGTTTTAGCCAGACTCGAAAACAGTCCTTCTCTTCCCACATCTTAAGGACATCCTCCTCCATTTTGGGGAAATTGAACTCATCGCCAAAGTTTTCAAGCTGCATGGTTGTCGACATAGTGTGTTTAATGTCCACTTGTGTTTGATCTAGTTTTGCCGAAAATAAACTGAGGGAAGAAGAAACTAAACCATGAGTGACCGTGCGCTTTGTCATCAGAAAAGGGCTGTTGGTCCTACCCCCAGCTTTCTTCAGCCTCCAGACCGTTGTTTCAAGCCAATCAGTCACATGACGCTGAGCTAAGCGACTAAATTCAAACATAATGTTTTCTTGATAATTCCGCTTTGAATTGAAAGAATAGGGTCAGTTAGCAGAACTTTTATGAAACCCCTTGAATTAAAAGACAATCAGTTCACCTTCTTTCCCCCTCACTTATGTTCGCGTAATTTTTTCACATTAACTAGTTTTGTCTTCGAGTTCGACTGCCCTTTTCCTCAAACTAAGACGTAGCAACACCGATCTAGCATTTTTGATTCGTGATATTAGCACTGACTTTACGAAGAAAAGCAATACGAAGCCCACGTTGAGAGAAATAAGCGAAGGCTGAAATACTAACACTTCCAGAGAGGCAGCCCTGTCCAAAACATACCCACAGTCTAATGAAAGATGGTATTTAAGAGCAATGATAGCACCTTAAGCAATGAATGTGTCATTCTACTGCTCTTCACGCTTTCACTTCTCTTTTTTATCATTTTTGTTGTAGGGAGCCAACTCATGACAAATAAATGGTCGAACAATGCAGAAGGAGTGTCGCAACAATAACAACTAGGAATGGAAATCATACCTACATAAACGCGCCCACATGCATGAAATGACGGAAAAAAGCAAGCCGATAAATTACCTTTTTTTGAGAACTAGATCAGTTGGTGCATTTGAAGCACCATTCTCCTTACAAAAACCGCTGGGAAGCCCTTTTTGTGGAATTCTATTTTCAGATCGTTTGCTTCCTACAACAACCGCATGCAATTGATCGAAATCGCTGTCATCTGCCCTTCGGCTAATCGAACCTAATCGAAACAAATGTGTGTCGTTTTTTGTGGGTTGAGCTGTGAATTTAGGAGGTTTTACTCTCCAGGCCGCCAAGGCCCAGAGATTTTTCTTCATATTTGGTAAACCCCTTTTCTAATCCACAGCCGTTTAAAACATGTGCTTCCGAAACCCAAATGGAGAAGAAAAAAATTAGAGAAAACGAAGATCGGGTTACTCAAACACATAAAGACAATAACACTTTGTGTTCAGAATTATTGTGGCAAGAGACAGTGGGACTCTCCAACAAGGCCTACGCAGCCTGGAATGTCAAATCACACTTTTTTTTGTTAATTTACAACCCCTTAAAGAGTTAAGGTGTGGAACTTGAGAAAACATCTGTGCACTTGCTATTTAAGTTTTAGAATTCATGTTATTGCGGACACATGTATATATAATATTTAGACATTAACACACCATAGGGGAAACGGTTTGATTAGAAATTTTCAAACTTGGTGCCTGGATTAGCCTCCTTGCACGGGCTGCAGACAGCGCCGATGTCATCGTTCCACCATTCAGGTGGACGCTCTTCGCACATCGAACAGGGTTCATAGGTGTTCGTTTTCGGTGCGCGAACCAACCGCGGCTCAACTTTCTTTTCATACACCTGCGAGCGGATCACATCAATGTTTTCCTCATCCTCACCGAGATCAATGAATGGGGCGCGCTTCAAAATCGCCTGCACGTCGTTTCGGTCCGCTACGTTGCGGTCGAGGCGCATGATCTCGTACAACGTGTTCGCCTCGGTGGTGCTTTTGATCGAAAGGATCTTATCGCGGTAGTGCTCAACAATAGCGAGGCAGAAGCGAACCAGGTAGCGCAGACCACCAAGCATAAAAGCGTCTAGGAAGTCGAAGAGATCATTGAATGGCAGCACGTGGATGCACAGGCCTGTGAGAATCTTTTGCAAATAGGTGTCCGGCCACAGGTTGAGTGAATCCAAGTGCTTGGCGACGTCGGGGAACCTCTTTTGCATAAAGTATTCCACCACCCATGCACTTGTGGCAAACCCAACCGCCTCGGCCGCCCAATGGCCCTTGATGTACTCCGTGGAGACGAAGCGGATGATGCTGGCTGTCTCCTCCTCGGTCAGGGCGAGCATGCAGAGCGCGGAGAGGTAGCTCATGGCCTGGCCGTAGGCCTTAAACTCGTGGCTGAGAGCGTGCAGAAACGCCACCAGCTTCGCGCGGTGCTCAGGGTGAAAGAAAGTACGATCGGCGTCCTTGATAATCACGCGCACGACCTCCTCATCGACGTTGTCGACTTTGAAATACGTGAGTGGCTTCCGATAGAAACTGCTACGTTTAAGCCACTTCTCCATCCGCGGCCGTAGTTTATCCTTGTTCTGCTCGATAAACCCCTTATCACAGTTGAACAGCGGTGCTCGTTTAAGAACTTCTTCTTCCCAAAATTGGGGCAACTCGAAGTAGGGCCCCGTGAAGTGCGTCGCGGAAGTTTCTTCCGGCGGCTTCTTTTCGGGCGCGGCGCTTTTAACAGCGCTGCTCGCCGCGGCCTGGGCGGGTTTCCCAAAGCCCGAGAAGGCGCTCGGGAAAGGAGCGATAGGGGCGTTGCTGGCAGTCCGTGGTGCACCTCCCGCGGACTGCCCAAAGCCAAAGGAGAAGGAATCCATCTTCCCCGGCGCCTTCGCTGGCGGAAAGCCGGGGAAGATGCTTGTGGCGGAGCTGCCCCCTACCGCTGGCGGTTTCGGCGGCTCCGACTTCTGAGGCTGCGGCGTCGCCTCCTTTCCGTAGTTTTTCCAGACCTCCTTGTCTAACTGACCAGACTTCGCCTTCAATTCACGGGCGCGGCGGTAAATGGCGAGCAACTCACTGTTGATCTCCTTTGCATTCTTGTTCGCTGCATTAGGGTTCAGAAAGTAGCTCTTCGGCAGATTTGGATAGCTCTGCGCGAAGGATGCCAGTGCCACTGCGTAATTACCAAAGGCCGAAAAGCATTGCTTGGCTATCTGCTCTGTCAGGCCAGTGATTTTCTGGAAGTCGTTAACGTTCTTTTCGCCGGATGTCGACATTGAATCTTACTTTTACAGGGTCTGTCGAGCCTACGTTCAATCTATTCGATTGATTTGCGTGTCTTTCTCTGGTTTTGAAATCTTTAAACCAATAGGGTTCCCCTTTCCTGTAGTATCGTAAAGAAGTAAATATGACTCAAGACTAGCAACCAGAGTGAGTTTGGAAAAAAAGAGAAAAGAATAATGACTAGCGAACAAGGAGTGAGAGCAGCAACTGGAGTCTCTTTTTTTATAACTATTTTTCACTATCAAACCATATGCATATGTGAGTGCATCAGAGTTCATCGAATAGAGAGAGGAAACAGAGCTGTTCTGAGTGTTTAAAATATGTCTGAAACGCTGAACAGGTGAGGGGAATTTGCCTCCGTTCCTCCCCAAACTCAAAATAGAGGCAATTTGCACTCAATATCTTTCCATATTATTTTCTTCCGATTGTCCTTGTTTGGACCATTCCACGAAACTGTCGAGCGCAAGAGGCCATGAATCACTCGTGCTGTATGTTTCATATGACTCAAGCTTAGCGAAATAAAATAGTTGGTGCCACAGATCCGCGGAAATGCTGAAATTCTCAGCGAAGCTGTTGGTCCCCACAAAAGCAATCCAATTTCGCAGGTTACGGAAGCACACATAGTGTTTGTAATTGTCACATTCCATAGAGGAGCTGTCTTCAGTAAAAAAGAGCTCCCACAACTCCATTGCGACGGTAGTACGGTCCGAGGCTCGATTGTTCCTTAGACACCACATATACAGGAAATTGTAGAACTTAATGAGATCAACCTCATTGTGTAGAATTTGATGATGAGTCTTTCTTACAGCACTTCGAAGCGCCCTAAAGGCACCTGCATATTCATTCTCTGGAGAGACTTTGTCGTCGGGTGAGAGGGCCTGAGAGAGCCCAGAAACAAAGCACGCCTCTGAAATATGGTATGGTAGCGCACTAGAGCATTTTAAATAAAACGCCAGAATATAAAACGACAGGTCTGCTAGCCCAAGATCAATCTTTTCGGCTAAAAATTCAAAGTGAGCTATCCCAAGCTGTCGATTATACGCCGCCGTGTCACCCTTGAAGGGGACAGCATTGAAAACGTACTCGAAAACTTCGCTGTTTACTTTACAATTTTTTTGGCAGTCATCTTGCAACATTAGGCTGTCTCTAAAATCTACCTACCAGAGGGAATTGGTGATTATTATTTTTATCCCAGATTCCCTTTTTTTTTTTCTGAGAGATCAGAACAAAGACTGTGCAATTTAGCCTCGTCAGATAGTTTTCATTCTGAAGCCTTTCAACCTCTTCCCTCCCTCCCTCAAAAACAAGAACAGATGCATACATATTATTTAAACGTTCTTTTACGAATGCAAATATTTCAAGCAGGAATTATTCACTGACCACGAAGTTCCCGTTTTCACCAAGCCCTTCTCTATCGTTCATTATTGCTATCGGTTCGTGACACGACGCATTCGACTAGGATCCGTCCGAAGCACACAATCGCACACCGTGTGGATATTACATTTCCGATCTCCGGTCCGTATCCACCGGCCACCCTTCTTCTGCTTCACCTGAAAGCTAACATCACGAGAGCTGATCATACGCAAGTCACCTTTTTTATGCTTTAACTTTCCCTTCTTGGTCAACGTACGAGGCCTCTCCGACTTGGGAAGCTTTCGCTTCTGCTTAGGAGCCTTTTTGGTACGTTTCCCCATCTGCTTTTATATAGTAGGTGTCCTTTGAAGACTAATATCGAATGATGAGAGGTTTATAAAATAAAGGGGAAAAAAGTTAATAAAGTGAGTTAGAAAGAGACTAACTTCGAATGCTACCACAGGAACATCCAAAAAGGAAGGAAACATAAAACAGAACAGAAATCTTACTTGCAATTCATAGAAGAAGTTAAAGCAGCACTTTGACATGATCTACGTACTGCGTTCATCAAAGACGGATATCACAGAGCCTTTACCACACTTACCCAATTCTCCCCTCCCCCTTTTACCCTCGATGGAAAGTCAAACTGGTTCATTTTCCATGCTCCGATGACCTGAGACTTTCGATGAGGACTTGATACTGCTTTAATTGCGTCTCGTTCAGCTCATCCTGGCGATCTTGCAGACATTCAAGCAAGTTGTAAAGTGTGTTTTTAGGCTGACCAGAGAGTCCAATCTGATGCAAAGCCTTTATGGTGACTATAAGTTCATTGGTTTCCATATTTGTACCATGGATATTCAAAGCATTGCACAACGGTCCTAGACGATACTCTTCATTTACCCCGGCAGATCTGCATGCGCACGCCACAGCATGTGTGATGCTGGCCACTGTAGACGATGGTGAGTCACCTAGTTGATGTGGATCTACGCGCTCAGTGAGGTCTAGAATGCGCTCCTTCGACAACGACGACCAGGTCTTGATGATAACCTCTGCAGGATTTTCATTTTCCATGATCTTTTCGACTACGGGAATGCGCGGATGATTAACAACACCGCAATACCGAAGCGCACGCATTACCTGCATACCCTCCTCTGGCTCAATTTCTTTCAGTTTATCAAATGTTTTATTGAGTGTGGGAACCACCTTTGAGGTCCACGAGCCCCGAAGCTCATTCGGAACATCTTCGACGGGAACTCCACCTATGCCATACAAGAGCTTACAGCGCTCTTTCGTTGATAGCCAACCCACGTTGCTACGGGTTTGACGCGCCGTCATGAGCATGAATTTGTGGTGTTTAATGTTTAAACACGCCAAGGCGTGGGCTACATTGACATACCACAAGGGTGACAGTTTGTACGACCCACCATCCTGTTGTTCACTGCCCGACTGGGTATTCGGAGCAGCATGCCTACTGTGTTGGTGCCGTCCTGGCTGTGATCGGAAAGCATGTAGAAAAACTCCATCGAGCAGCGAACGCGGACTCGAGGGTGGGTGCTGCAGCATGGCCAGGCCTTGGATATGCCGCAGGACTCCGTTTGCACTGCATTTTGAGGCGTCCATGCGGTCCGAAAGGGACCTCAGGTGGATATGACGATGCTGAAGAACCCCAAGACTGTAAATCACCTCACATAGCTGCGAGCTCGAAACCAGGGTTTGCGAGGCATGGAGTACGTCAAGACTTTTATTGCATACTTCCTCATCGTAAAAGCCAACTTCCGCCAGTGTGTTCAGAGACATCGCGGCATCGATGGAATTGAACTTCTTGTCTCGTAAGTGTATCAAAAGTTCGCGTGCACCTCTACATCGCTGCAATTTAGCCTCCATGTCAATTTTATTTTTCACTGGCAGAAGGCCAATCATGTCCGTATTGGCACAAGGGAAGTTGTAGCCTCTGGCAAATATCAGACTCGTGGCATAGATGAGTGAGATAACCGTCACCGTGTAGGCCCCTCTGTGGTCTTGGTGCCACCTATCCATTGCAGTTTGGTACGCCGGGCGCAGCAATTCACTATAGTGCGTGGTCGATTGACTTGTTGCTTTAGCAGAGATATAATCGCGGTTCAATTCATGTTCACATTTTTCTAAATCAATAATAGATCGCAACACGGAGGCAGACTCATTAACATCCCCAAAACTGTTCATGACATAGGACTTTGCGACGCTGTGCGCTATATCAAGCGCTTCAAGGGCTGGTAGCGCCATAGACGGCGGTACGTGTTTGAAAATTGAAGCACAACTTCGTAAAAACAACGTTATGAGGGACTTCTTTTTTGTCACAGGTTCTATTGCGGACGCACTTGCACGTATAAGCTGAATCGCCTCTTTGCTTACCATTACTGGTGCCTTGAGTCTTTGGAGCAATTGGACCTGCATCCGCGATAGCTCATGCGAGAGTGACTCAAACGATAGGGGTTCCATTAGGATACTGCAGAAGCCAATAATGTATATGCATATAACTTTACAAGGAAAGGGACAATGTATAGATAACTATATAGAATGTTCTATACTCTTCCCATCGGCGAAGCTAAGAGCGAGGCAAAAGGTGCAAAACGCAAGAGAACTTTAGAACTCGAACTGAATTAGTAGAATTTTAAAGAAATCGAAGTCATCATACACAGACACCGAGAAATAATGAGGCCCTTATTTTTTGTGTGTGAGTTTCTAAATTCATCCAAATGCCGAATTTAAAACCGTAGAAATAAACAGCGATTACCATGTGCTACCGCTTTTGTGACTATGCACTAGCAAAATCTATGAACCCTTGTTGTCGGTCCCCGAGCCCCCCTGCACTCGCGGAAACGAAAGAAGCGAGGTTGATTTAAGTTGCATACTATGGTTCCCGAGGTCAAAGCCGTAGTCGTAGTCCCCCACAAGGCTGTTCGCACTTAGGCCGATCTGTCCATGGCCCGAGAGCTGAAGGGAGGACTGGGACGGGTTGAGCGGGCTCTCAGGGGTGGGGTTCACCGGGCTCTGCGGGGATGACGTGTGCAGCCCACCACCCTTATGGCTCGTGGTCATGGGAGGGGAAGGGGGAGGGGCGGCCTCGGAAGTCAGAGAGGGGCCACTTTTGCTGGCCCCCGGTGACGGTTCCTGACTGGGCTGCGGTGCTGACAGCGCGCCCTCATCCTCGGTCTTTGACCGCGACTGGTGGCCACCAAAGGCCATCCCGTCCGTTAGCTCCGACAGCGACGTCGACGGTTCCTCGTCTTGTCGCTGGATAAACTCGAGAACGCTGGGCCTTAGCTGCTGTGTGCGGACCCCTTCAGGGCTCGTCGCGCCAAATCCAATCCCACTTCCTGGTGGTCGAATCCCTTCCTCCGGGCGCACTCCAAACACCCTCTTTAACGCATCCAAGTCGTCCTCGCTGGTGCTGTCGTCGCTGGAGTTGCCCGTCAGAGTGTTGGTGATCGGCAAGGTTGGCTTTTCGCGCTCATGGACACCCGAGGTAACCAAGGACTTCGGCACGGCTATCTCCAAAGAGGAGCTTTCTGAGGAATGTGATTGCTGCTGGGAAAGGATCATACTACCAGGGCGATACGACCTTTCGACTTGGCTGCTAAGCCCGATCAGGCCCCCTTTCGAACACTGAGAGGGTAAGTCATTTGCATTCGCGCGATGGGGGACCTTCTCCTCCTGGTTTAGCCCCATCCTTCCTTCCTGAACATTCATGGAGTGAAGATGCACAGACGCGCTAGGCGAATCCTGATTGGTGCGGTTAGGATAGTTAGAATCGACACCTGCCGCTTTTTCTGCAAGGACAGGCACCACCGGCAAGGAGGTACGGGGAGATTTCTGGATGCCTGGTGTGGGTAATGCATTCACTGAGGACCCCTTAATAGGAAGAGAGACAGACTCCACAACCCCAGCCGCTGCGTCGGATGTTAGAGAGGGGCTTCGACTAGGCTCTATTTCTACCACTGCCGCCATCGCAGAGGTGCGTCCATCCCCTTCTTCACCACTTGCGGCTTGCGATGTTTGCGCACTGCGGTGACGCGAGGGTCGAGGTTTAGGTGCTGATAAACGGGAAGAAGAGGAAGAAGTGGTGAGGGATAGATTGGAAGATAATGACGTGGAGTGCTTTCCATGCTTTCGAGGGTGACACCGTTTTCTTATTTCATGCTTCAACATTTTCCGATCCCTATGGTGTGATTTGAGAATCCTCTCTACGTCTACTTTCGCATTTGAGGAAGAATCCTCGCGGAATGCTGCGAGCACGTTTAAGAGGTCGAGCGTGCAGTTCTCAATCAACGCTTGCAGAGTGCGTGAGTTACCCTCTCTTTTTTCTACTAGATTAGCATGGAATATGGGAGATGGAGCAGAATAGTTTGATAACCCAGAAGGAGTTGGAGCAGATTGTCTAGATGGCGCAGCGATGGGATTGCGGTGCGTTGGGGCGGCACCTTCCTCCATAGGTGGCTCGATGAACTGGGTAACTCGGAGCACCATTTGTCGCAATCGTGTGACCTCCTCATTGAGGGCCTCCACCTCGTGCTCTAACACATCCATATACATTTGGTCTGCTTTACTATACTCTATATCTATTAACTGCGAAAAATAATCGATCTATTTTGTCTTCTATTTGTTCTTGAAAGGAAGAAATTGTGGCAAACCAGAAGTCAATATTTATGAAAACGCAAGCACGTACAAACACAAAGAATAAAATTTAAGGAAAAGAATGGGAATCGATAGGAACGATAGAAAATGGTACTTTTTATTCAAGAAAACCCGGAAAAGTAAAGCGAACAAAAAGACACAACAGATCTTTTGATTTCAACTTTATATGCTTGTTTTTACACGGTGTTTATTTAAGGATTAAAGTAGTTGGTCCTCACGACATTACTGGCTCACAGAATTCTATTTATTCACTGCCGTTTGCCACTTGCGCAACCTCTTCGTGGTAACCTTCGGAGCTTGCGACACAAAACTCGCGTAGGACCGCTGTGGCGTAACTTCCTGAAGGAAGGAAAAATTCCGCCATGATCACCTGAAACCCAGACTGTGAATCATGTGCTGCTTCGTCGCGTCCGTCAGAGTTTTCCAGCTTGGGTTCCACCGACGCAGGCGAGCAGCCAGCCGCTTCCGCTTGTTTATAGTAATAAAGCTCCATCTTCAGTTGCTCCCAGTCGGTCAACATAATGCGCTGTAGCCAATCCGAAACAAGAGTGCAAGACAATTTCAACCGCCGCGGCCTCACGCATATTGCGCGATAGGTCCCGTAGTAATGAAAAATTTTAACCAATGGATTAGAAGTTGTGTGATCAAGAAAATTCGTGGGTACACCCAGGCTTTCCATCTCGCGCTGATACTCTTCTTTTGTGCAGCCACGACACTCTGGGTAGCGCAGCCCCTCGTCTGGGCCTGGGATCGGTAGGAGGATGTCGCTCAAGTCGAACCGTGAAAGGTCGTCTTGCTCGGTAAGCAGCTGAACGGTCGGTAACTTTTCGTCGGATGACCCTAATTCGTTAGAGACGACTTCACTTAAAGGACACTCATCAGCATGCTTGGGTACCCACTCAGTCATCTTGGCTTTGTAAACTGATGTTAGCACCAGATCCCCCACCTCAGGCGATGTACGAGTCTCATCGGAAAGACGTCGAGACACCATACGATTCCAAATGAGGCTCTGCACAGCGTGAAAATATAACATACCGAGTGTGCGTGGAATAACTTGCAGTGTGCCAATATAATCATTTGGATAGTTTGACAGATGCTTCAATATATCACGTTCATGAAAGCAGTAGGACGGCAATTTTTCTAGAGCGCCCTCGTAGTCTTTGGCGCGTATAAGAGGGAGAATTTCCCTTATGCGAGGATCGATACATGCTTTCGATTGGAATATTGCTTCAATCCCTTCCTTGTACTCGCCTCGCAGCAGCATAAAGCCCACATCGCTCGTGAGCATCTCGGTAGTGCCGAATCGTTGTGGTCCAAAGTAATTAATGACTCCTTTTCTTTCCAAGGCAGCCTTTACCAATGCCAGCTGTGCGTCTGTAATCTTTGGTGAACAGGGATGAAGACGGAGTGCAATCTGAAAGTAGTTCCCGCAGGCCTCGCCAAGTTTCAGCCCTGTTACTTCCTCCTGGAAGCTGCCCACCTTCACCACACAGCGCGGCCCAAATGACATTCTGTTCACACTAGCAAGCTTCTCGGGTTCCATATCTCGAATCGCCACCCGCTGCGTCGTGACCGCGCGCTTATCTTTGGTTCCGCAGTACTGAAATTGGCGCGTAGAGAGGTGGAGATGCTTGGCCATAGTGCGAAAGGCATGCATACTGTCGAGATTTTCCTTATACAAAGTAAAGTGAAGAAATGGACGAGTCTTTAGTGGCCTGGAGCGTCGATTCTCCTCACGCCGTTCTGCGGCTGTGGCCTTGAGAACTACGACAAATCCTCCTTCCGTAGAGCTAGCATGTGTGTTGGTAAGGGTTGCTTTGATGGCCTGATGGATCGCCGTTCTCTGGATTTTGGTCATGGTAGTATCACTTAGCAAAATCTTCTTTTCGCCTTGCTGAAGACCGGTGAGAAGCCTATCGAGGTCACTCTGCAAAATGAGAGGAGCCAAAGCTTCGCGCACTGCGCTAAATACCTCTTCGTTAGGTACAAGTTCTCCACGTGGGCGCTTTTCAGGCTTCTTTTCAGTCGAATCTCCCTTTTGAGTACATGAAGGGAGCGAATCTAGCCTCAAAGGTTCGCCACCATTGAATTTGGGGTAAACTTCACGAACTACAAAATCCGAGTAATGCGTCTTAAAGGAAACAAACGGCTTCATTTGAGACAAATCCTTCGTCTCTGGTAGGAGTTCAAGGAGAGAACGATGCATGCCTATCTTGTTTTCCCTCTCCATCAGACGCCTAACACACGAAGTGGCATCGCGTTCGCTCGTATACATGAGATTTACCTCTTTAGGTGTGATATTAGTGTCATTTAAGAAACCAAACAGAATAAGAAAAAGCGATTGCTCACAGGATTTTCCATTCACTCAACGACACCATACACTCGAGAGGAGAAAGGCTTTGTTAAGTCCCCCCAAAATACGAATTGAAAGCTCGAGAATTGAATTTGTGTGTAGCAAAGATAAATAACAGCAAAAAGGAAGAGTCATATATACACACATTTTTTCCCCACTGTTTCCCCTCCCCCCTATCTTTTTTATTGTACAAACGGGAAACGAAATTAACCGAGATCGAGTTCCTAGTGCAAATTCTTACGCAAGAACTCTACAATTTTTGGTAGCCCTTCCATGATAGCTTGTCCTTCATCGGAAAAAGCAGACTTCCCTTCGTTGGACAGCTGCACAAGGAGAAAAATCAACTCCATGAGAGCGTTCCTAGACTCGTTCTCCGCGGTGTACACGAGACGGCTATGCACACGCTCCTCTATTCCTTTCAGCTCGTCCACCGTAATCCACCCATTACTACCGATCATATAGGCCAAAGGGGCATTGCGGCGCTCTATACTGAAGTCCAACTCACCGTTATCGCCCCCTAATTGAAGCCAACTTTTAGAGTTAGATGAGATAATGGAGTTAAGCTGTCTCAGTTCATCCGAGATCACCTCAGCACCCTCACCCTCTGGGTCGGCCGCGTTCTCCTGCGCCGTCCAGTATCTGACGCAGGACCGGATTAGGGCGCGTGCGTTGCTCGCCGCTACCTGCGCCAACATAATTTTGTCGCCTATGTTAAGGAGGCTCCGCTGGATCTGATCGATTGGGAAAAGACGTTTTATCTGATAGTCTAGAAAAATAAGCTCAGGCAGGTCGGGTGCGTGGTTTATTAGTTTTAGTGTCGCGCATAGTTTACGCAGAATTCGACGAGTATCATCATTCTTACGTGGATTCTCAAAGCTATCTTCTTCAGAGCCATCGGGGACGATACAATGGACCAGGAAGGAGTGAACAAAGGCGGTACGCACGCGAAGAGCCGTAGGATACCCGCCACCGTGATATAAATCCAGTGCATCGCATTCCTCAAGATTTTTTGAGTGGATCTTTCCTGCCCTGAGTGGCTCATCTGAGGATGACGGAGTTGGTGCGTTTAGCAGAGTGCGCGGCGTGAGTGTGAAGCATTCCACGGGGCCGCCAAAAAGCTCTGCCCATGGTACGGTGAGTCTTCTTCTTGGTATGACAACAGGAAGGCCTTCGATTAGGCAGTTTCCCATATCCATGAGGAAAAGAAGCGTGCTCAGGAAAGCGTTCACCTGCCGCAAACGGAATTGCAGTAGCTGAGGGTGTACACACATGCATTGCATTAAGATCTTGAGCTGAAGACGGAGAGTGGAGGGGATTGTGGGAAAGACAAACTTGTCGTCCTCGGCAAGACATGCTGAGATGTGTTTCACTAAAGAAGCCCATCTGTACTCGTCCTTGCTGGCGAGCACTGCATCGGCAATTCGCATTGTCAGCTCTGAAAGAGCCAGAGCAGACGAAAGAAAATCATGATTGGATCGACTTCCTTTTAACCAATAAGTGATCCCATCGTGCGGTGTACTTCGGGTTGAGAACTCAGTTGACTTAGCAAAAAAAACGAAAAGCTCCCCCCCATCAGGCACCACTTGCGCGTTCCAGAAAGGGAGGGTCGATTCCCTAAACGGGCGAAGGATGTTCTCCTGAAGACAGTTCACTGCGGTCATGAGTATACTGCACTGGTGAACCGACCGCCACCTATGCTCTATCGAGGACTCTGATCCCAACTCATTGAAATCAACACTAGAGATGTCACTCCATTCTTTCTGGAGGGGCTCCAAAAGAGTTTTTTGGAAGACCTCGGGAAGCCAGGTAGAGTTTTCCATCCATGGATGTTTGATTTGAAGGTAGTTCTCAAGCTCCACCGTTGGAATTGCCTCTTTGTTGGAGATCGCATCGTGTGTGATGATCGGTGAAAACACAACTAGAGCATATAGACGACTATTACGCACGATTTCCGGAGCATCGCTGCGATCGATGAGAGATGACATAAGATGGACGTCAGCTACGGGCATGCGTTGGTGAAGCAGAAAAGTCTCAAACGTATCTGCATGTTGGTACTCCACGCGTGGGAGTAAGTATTGCATACGCATCCCAACTCTAAAAGACCCTACCAAATACCTGCAGGTGTTAGTTTCCTTAACTTTGTCCTCTTTCGCCATGTTCCGAGAGGCCATCGCCCACAGCTGAAGAAGCTGCGTGATGGATGAGTACCAGGAAGTGCTATGCTGAGGACATTTTCGATTAGAATCACCATGCTCTCGCGCAACGCAGCATATTAGTATCACAAAAAGTGCACCTCTTGCCTGTCGTAGTACTTCCAGTCTTGGAGAGTGGGATTTTCTTGCCGTTTTTCGAACGTGTAAAGGAATTAGTGCCCGCTCAACACCAGAGATAAACGCATCTTCTGGGAACATGCTCATCACAGAGCATAGTGCACCCATGTTTGTCTGATGCAGAAACCCCTCAATGTCCGCAGTTCCTCTCTCGGCCACCCACGCTATGCTCATATAAGCCAGATCACAAAGGTTGAATCCCATATCTGAGAGCTCGGGGAGACGCTTGTGGAAGACATTAACCCCCTGATTCCCAAACACAAGATATGAAAGATCGTAGAAAATGTTGAGGCTGGCATCTGCATCTTCCGCACGGACAGCATCCTCCCTTAAGAATTCAATCTGATTTCCACCGCAAAAAAAATATTTTAAGAAAGTATCAATGTCTAGAAACTTCCCCAGAGGTTGTTGCTGTACTTTATCACTATGACCAGTTGTTTGTGAAATACTATGTAAGGTAGATTGCCAATCTTTTTGGAGTACATTTACTAACGACGGATATGACTGCGCTAGGCGACTGCACACAGCTCGCACGCCCCGAGACCAGAAGCGTCTCGCGACCGCATCCTTGGTTGACAAGGTACACGTCCAAATGGCTGAATCAAAGGATTCTGTCTGGAAGAAATTCGGGGAATGTGCTGCAGTTGAGTTCTGTCTAGAAAACGCATCCACGCAGCTGCCACTTGCCAAGCGTGCGTACTTATCGATGAGGGTCATGCGTAACTTCAGAAAATTAAGGCATTGGGCCGCTGATATCCCTTGTGGAACACCGCCCACGCCGCGTGGCTCCCGTTCCATCGCACGCATTTCCATTGAACGAGGTGCCCAGAGACGATCGATGGCGTTGCATATCGACAGGAGCTGTCGCTTGAACGCGTGGAAAACTTCCATATTATCCCCTACCGCCTTCCCCCAGGCCTGGGGATCCGCTAATGCGGAGGTCTCCGGAGAGACGACCCATTGTGGAAGCTCGAGCTGCATGGCGAGCTTGAAAAATTCATCCGGGGTACGGCAACGCCCTAATGTGCCGGACGGCACCCCACACCTGCGGCCCTCCAGAGCTTCCTTTGAGATCTGCGTCGCGAGTGGCGTGCCCTCGCCCCACGCGGCTACATTCAACATCAGCTGGTAGACTTCTCCTGTCGGCGCTAAGATCAGAGGAGGACCACGAGCCCGCGGCTGCGGCCCCGGACGCAGAAGGCTGGCGCGCTCCGGCACCAAACAGCCCGCGATACGGCGACGCAAACGCAGCGAGTAGACCTCGACAGCGCGCCTCAGGGGCTGGTGCACGTACAGCAGAAGCATCATCTTCCCCGAGGGTGATGATTGAAGGCCCCACTGAAACTGCGCAGCGCGCTGGCCTTTGAGGACGTGCCAGACAATCCCCGTGTTGAGGTCGGTGAGGTAGATTCGACCGGTGCCCTCGGTGTAGAAGGCCGCGTACTGCTGCGTCGGGTCGACAAGCACGCGGCTGAAGGTGCTGTCGGCCTCCAGAAAGGAGGAGGAATCGCGCAGACGAATCTTTTTGAGCTCCTTCGGGGCCTCTGACGTCCTCTGGGGGCGGCGAAAAGCGTTCAGATAGAGGCTCGTCGCGGCGTCCTTAAGGAGGGAGGCCATCGCCCTCACCGCCCCTGTTGCGGAGAAGGATTCTTCCCGCCTTGCCACCGGGTATATCGCGAACGCAGGGTTCCGCCCGCAGAGCACAAAAAACTCCATCGCCTGCAGATCATTCTGCAGGGGTGAATCGAGGGGCCCGTACTCGGTGGTGTAAAAAACCGCAGCATCCAGGACTTTCCGAGGTTCCAACCGCCCGGAGGGGAGCCTTCGCGCGTCCGAATGCGGGGTTCGAGTCGCCGCAGTCGCCATCTCCGCCGCGGAGTAATTCACAACGGGGGGAAGCACGTAAACGTCCTCGAGGGCTGGGGTGGCGGCCGGCCCCGCCGCGGGGTACGCGCCCTCCGGGCAGCTCAAAGGGAGACGTGGTCGCTCGCCATCCTGCTGGTTGGCCACGACCACAGCGAAGGCGTTCAGCATCGCGCGGCCTAAAAAGGCGACCGTTCCATCGGCGTGGACGACGTAAACCCCGCTGATGGTGGAGTTCATGTGCGTGCCCACGATCTTGGATGGGCTCCAATGGTAGGGGTTGGGGGGGTGTTGAACGTTGAAGCGGACGACAGCCACCCCCGCGGCGGGCAGCGCGCTTCGAGGAGGTAGGGGGTCTCGCGCATCACGCAACCCCGACGCCGGGTCGCTAGGATTCACCGGCCATGATTGAAAGCGAGCGATCACCAAGATGGATCCGCGAAGAGCGTTGCACACCAGCACGGCCCCGTTCGAAGTTCCGATAAACAGGTACACAAACAGATCGTCTATGGAAGATGCGGAAATGGCCCCACGGTTATCCCCTACGGAGGGCGTTGGACTCACGGAACGTAACCCCTTTAGCTTAGCATTCGGGGGTCGGGTCGCCGAAGCGTTGCAGCGATCCAGGTAAATGGCGGCACGCTCACAGGCCATCTCGATGCATATGATTTCTCCCTCATCAACTGAGATGAGTCGAATCACCTGCAGAGTTCGAAAAGCAGCGCGTAGTTTTGGATAAATCACCCCGAACTCAGCGGATTCCTTTTCAACGTGTCTAGAAGTCGTGGATGATGGCATACTTCTGCTTGATATGTCAACGTTGCTATTGCTTGAGCTAGCCTCAGGATCCGATGATAAAATGGGCTGCATTAATTCTAGTATGCATTGATTTTTAGGCCTGTCAATGGTGGCAATGATGTAAACATCTGGTAAAATTTCTACAAAAGTAGACTCCCAGGGGCGATGATATTGTCTTTCCTCAGCATCGCAATGTCGATGCTCCAAAGCATTAACACTCCGCTGTACATAGCCTTTTAACACCAAACTAAGAGCAGTCATGTAAGGCCAAAAAGCTACAAGAAAGCACTGCTAGGTGCATCAATGCGAATGAAAATAATTAAGGACATACGAGAAAAAAGTGAGAACAAAAATAATCCAAGCCTGAAAATGTATTTCCATTTTAAAAATCTAAGGAGACCCTCATCTAATTGAGCAGTGAGAGACAATACAGAGAATGCTCCCTTTTCAACAAAGAACACACTCCAGGAGCATAAGCCTACAGCTCAGCCATCTTTTCTCTCTACATTTCATTGTAGTAGGAGTAATAAGTGGAGATGGATAAAAAATAAACCTCGAAAACATGGGATAGGTCTACTAGCGAGTTTTAAAACTGAAGTAGGAGCCAAATAAATCCTAATAAACAAAAATGGAAATTAACAGTTTGGACAGCGAAGATGCGATTCGCTTTTATCCACCCTTGTAGGTGTGTAAGCCACGGATTTTTGTTGCATTTTTTTGTCAAGAAGTTTATTTTTGATTTGCTTTTGGTCAGTAGCGATAGTATCTCAACCTTCATGCTCTCACAATGCAGGGTCGAAATTCAAACGAGACTGCCCAGCTCGAAGAAGAATCCATCGTTCTTCATCTACTAGTGGGAAGGTGGTACGTGAGTTCCAGTTCATGATTTTTCATGCCACGTTGGATCTCTCATAGCGAATACTTGCATTACTAAGATTTCAGGACGCCCGGTCGTTGGAGAGCATAACACCCGCCATGAAAGTTAGACTAAAAATATTTGAGAGTAAATTCAACTGTCACCTCGGCCCATCTTGCCTGCAGCAGCGGAGCTGAGCAAAGGGATAGATAATATCAGCATCAGAGACCCCAACTAAAGAAACAATGACAACGTCTGGAAATATGAGAGGCGAACATACCGCAAGCGGCGTTGCACTGTTCGGGATACCTTGTAAATCGGCCTTAGCAGCAATTATCCACCGAGAATGTGCATCACTTTTTGGGGGACGCGGCAATTGTGGAGTAAAGTTACTCTTACTAATACATTGCTATTTTGAAAATGCAAAAAATAAAACGTGGAATGAAGCAATAAAAGGAGAAGTTGCAGTAATAATTTCTTTTAGAGTGCACATGTCCAATTGAAACGTTAGAGAATCGTGCCTTGTAACTTTTTAATTACCATGCGCATTTAGATGGAACAACACTCGTGAAAATCATCCATAGGTCATTTAACAATTCGACTCTATTATTATATATTATTAATGTACGTTCCCCATCAAACTATACCCATTTCATACTCAGCATTGTGTCTTACAATCCTGTGCTTGCGGCACCAGCTGGTTTCGCAGTCTGCTTACTGATAATGGAGCCCTTGACCTTACCGTAGTCGTCGCGGCGGCGACCGCTGGACTTTAGGAATTGCTGGTACTGAGTAGAATTCGTGTCGTAAATCATTTTTATATTCGCCAACCTAGTTGCTCCTTGATATAATGTGTCGCGAGTAGATGAAAGAAAGGTAAATACTGTGGAATAAAAAGGCTTTGAATTTTTTTCTTGTTTGGTTTGCGATTCGAAAAAAAACGTAGGGATAAATGCATGTGCTTGAAAAAAATAGCTTATCTATTCATTTTTAGTAAAGAATAAAACTCCACTCAACACGGGGTTCATCATCTAATGTTTTTAAACGTTTAAATATACGATCGCCAAGGGGGACAGAAAAGTGTCGAATACCCTTCCTCTTTTAGATCTTTTATAAGTTTACACTGTTCATCTTCTTTTTTTTTGACGAGTTTAGTGCAAAGTCATCATTCACTGTAATCGTTCTCAGAGTTGCGATCACGTTTTCTGCTCTCCAATCCATTTCCCCCGTTGCTGACGAAGAGTGGTTCACCTTGCATAAAACGGGCGCTGGGGTTAGGATTACGCTCAACTTTGATCGCAGTTAGTAAGTACCCCCCAGCAGTGCTCATGTTTACGGTCGGATGGGTCCGCTGTGGAAGGACTTGATAATGTCGGTACCACGTTTCAGAGATACGAATGTTCACGCAATCCATCCGAAGCCGCGGAAATAGGTCGGTCAAATCCTCTAAAAACGGACTATACACCACGAGGTGCCCGCCACATGCGAGAAACGGCAAAAGGCACGCCAACTGCTTCTCCGCGCTCGTATCATCCACGACGATGAGGGAATCCGCGGGTCTCTCCAGCAGCTCTTGCCGCGCGTCTAAACCTTTCATCCACTGGGAGGCGTGGGGAGGATTCGGGCGAGGGGCTCCCGAGCCCTCGTCTGGGCTTTCATCGGGGGATGCCTGACCTCCCGCGTCGTCCTTCGGCTTCTCGGATACCCCGGTGAGAAAGTCTTCGTTGTTGGGGACCGCCTTCCAGCGTTTCTTCAGATCCTGTAGACCTAACTGGGAGGCCGTGAAGACGTTCGGCTGAGCAGACTTTTCCATCAGCTGGAAGATCCTGCCGGCGTCGCCAAGCCGCCCGAGGATGTACGCCGGCATCACGCCGTTGGTACGCTCAAAGAGCAGCACCCGAGACGCGTCGTGGAGGTTGCTGTGGTGTAAAATGAGCGCGACGGTATCCGCACGCAATCTCACCCACCGCGGTTCTTCCGTGGCCTCACATAGTGGGGCAATGCTCGGCACCTGCACCTCGCACATATTATCCGCCGTCACGCGCTGCACTTTAAATAGCTCGCCGTATTTTTTTTTCTTCTTCACGAGGTACTTCTCTTTGGAGAAGTTTGTCTTGCTCTGATACGTCACACTGTTCTCGACGAGCGAGTTGAGAAGCGTTTCGACGCCTTTTTCACGACGAATCTCCGCAATTTCATCCTTGGTGAGCTGCTGGCTGCGATTATCACAGACAAGGTCGCGGTTGTCGCGTTCGCCCGTCGCGTTCGCACCACTGAGGTCGAGGTCGGGGTAGTCCGCGCATGGCCTGAAGCTCCTCGATCGCGGGCTCAGCCGCACCACCTCGCCGTAGCGTAGACCGACGAGGCCGTCGGTGAAAGCAGATCGGCAGCGGTCGAGTCTCAGTCGCACCCCTTTTCTAGCCTCCCCAATGCGTTGAACTCCACTTCCATTAATAAAGACATAGTCGCCTTCTTTGATGTAATCCGCATCCATTGCGGTCTAGTACTATTTCCTTTTGTGTGCAGTGTTTTTCCCCCGCTTCATCCGGAAGGGTTGCGAATAAGAAGAAACCAACATAAAAGACAGAATAAAATTAGTAAAAAAAATTTGTGATTCGCAATAATGATAAAAATTTAATCCATTGATATTAGCAAGACAAAAGCGTTGATGTTGTATCAGCCTTTGCGGACTTCACAATACACTCCTTTCACTTTTCGTGTGCTTGCTGGATAAGCAATCGTTCTACTCACGCAATAGTGACTTGCACGGCAAAATTGTAACGCTATACATCCCCCTAGAACGGGGTGGGGGAGGAGGGAAGGGATTAAGGGGGTCCGTAACTTCACTTTGGAGAAGTTTTTAAAAGCCGTAGCAGGTGAAATTCCTCCATACTTTCCTCCAGCACTTCCTTCTTAATGCGCTCAGAAGCCTGCCTAAAGCTAGCTGCGCATTCATCTACTGTTGAAACCTTGGCTAAAGCGGTGTCATCCTCCGCTGCTTCATGCCGATAAATGCTTCCGTCAAGAGAACGAACGTGGGGGAAAAGCTCCCGACATAAGAGGGCGTATGCTTTGGAATCCGAACAAATCGGGTTGTCTAGTACCATGCAAGAGGTATCGTTCGCGGATAACTTCATGCTTGCCTCCCGCCGCAGCCATAGTTCTTTCACTGACTTCAGCTCGGCAAGTGGGGCAATGGAGGCTTTGTTGCTAAGCTGATTCCCTTCAAGCCAAACACGTTCCAGCTGAGCAAACCCACGAAGGTGGGCGAGATCTCGAATGCAATTTTCAGATGCATTCAAGAAGACTAAAGTAGCAGCCACATCCTGAATCCCATCGAGCGAGGGTAGCATATTTCGACTAAGATCCAAAGCGGTAAGCGCGTAACAGCGCCGGAAAGCGACCCCTAATGAGGCAATCGCCATCTGAGAGAGGTTGGCATGGTAAAGAAGTTCAATGTCGTACTGCTTTGTTGAAATCAGAATTTGCGACTCATCTAGAACCCTCTGCGAGGGTGAGGTCTTCTTCAGTGACATACCTAAGGCTTCTGCCTGGCCAGCTTTTAGCACGTTGACGTAGAAAAGCAAGAAAAGAAGGTGTTGAAGAAGGAGAAAGATATATTGTTCAATTCCTTACCATTGCGCAGAAAATGATCTACAATACAGAGCTTACCCAAGAATAAAGGGCAAACCAGTAAGGAAGAGAAAATAAAAAGGCTTAGAAAGACACGCAGTGACTGAGGTATTCCCATTTCAACGAATAACGCAAGGATAAATTCATTAGGATGAAGGGGGGAAAACCCGTAATGTGAAAATTGTGCGAATAGAAAGTTCTCAGGTAGCTCACCTCATGTGCCGGTATAAAGATTTTAAGGTATTTCAAATTTGAGCTAGCGAACGCCGCTGGTTCCAGTATTCTTCCAGCCGTTCACGCTCGCGGCGGGCACGCAGCTTCGCCGCTCTCAGCAGCATCGGCACCTCCACGTCGTACTCATCGCACAGCTTCTCAGAGACCTCCCTAAAGAACTTACTCGAACGGTACCCCTCCCGATTTTCCAATATTCGTACGACGAGGGCGTGTACACTCGTGGAGTAGCCCATCTCCAGCTCCATCGCAAGCAACCCCGCCTGCGCGAGCTGGTGATGCGAGAGTTTATCGATTTGTTTCTCAAGTTTCGCAAAGCATGACGTGGCGAGTCGCGTCGGCACGGGAAGGTCGAGCTGCGCGATGGACTGAAGCAGCGTTAGGAGCTGGGAGTTCTCCAGCCTCGCCTCGCCGCGGCTCACAAACTGCTCCTCCAGCAACGTTAACACTCGGGTGAGCAGGGGGTCGTCCGGAATCGAAAAGTTCGCGTGGCATTGAAGCAGACGCACCAAAGTGCTCCGTTTGCACTGATCAAGCATCCCAAGAAGCCGAGTCCCAATCGCGTCGATCATCTCCTCGACCATGGTGGTGTTTTGCATGTGCAGACAGGCCACTAGAAGCACCTCGAGGTCTTCATGGGAGAGGAGGTGGATATCGTTGCGAAGGAAGCCCATGGTGTAGTCCTCGTATTTGAGGAAAAGATCCTTGTCGGAGCACATCGCCTTGACCACCACGCAACGACTGTGTGGATCGGCTCGCTCGTAGGCCGCTCGGAAAACCTCCTCGAACGTCTCAGCATCACTCGCTCCACCCATTCTTGAGTCCACATGCTTAATAACATCCCACTTCTTAAGCCGACTGATATTTTGAAGAAGTTTCGCGAGCTCGCTGGAAGATAACCTATTTGACTCTATCAAGACGCCCTCGCATAGGTCTCGCGTAAAACTATCTAATTGATAAACCGGAGAGAGATCATGCCGCGCCATCGTGTCGACCAACGCGCTTAGCATCAGAAGCTGATCGGACGGCCCCTGAAAGTGGCTCCGCAAGGTTTTCAAAACATCTTCAAGAAATGCATAATTTGTCTGATCATCTCCCCGCTGTTGCGCGCCTGAGCTGCCTCCTTTCGCACCCCCAACGAGGGCAGCGAGTTCCACCATATGCGCGATCGAGGTCGCCTGCGCCGGGGCTCCCCGGGGATGACTCCCGTCAACGCTAGGGGACCCTTCCGAAAGCGCACATGGCGCGATCCTTTCCAGAAAATCCTTGCGATCAAAAAAGTTCTCTTTGACAATCCTCCCGATACTCGGAATCGGCAAGTGGTGCCGATGAAGGAGCTGGACAAGCTTTGTGAGCTTAGCAAGATCCACCGTCGCTTCACTGAGCAAGTATTCTGAAACAATTTTCTCAGCCCGCTCCATCACTGCCAATTCGATCAAATTTTGCGCAATGGGCAAGGAGTTTGATAGTAAGTCTATCAAGGAATCTATTGACGTGATTTCTTCAAGCGAAAGAATGCTCTTCAGGCATCTGTGAATAATTTTCTCTCGAGCACACCTATCGTACTTGGTCATTACTAGAGACTCCTGAGTTTCATTGCGTAGAGCATTACCCTCGCTGCCGGTGTTATGCGGCCGTGAGAACTTTTTCGACGCCTTTGGAGAAGCTCTTTCCACACTACGATGTGGTGGAGAGTGAAAACCTTCCTGAGGGTGATCAGGCATGGGTAGGTAGGACTGAAGGATGAAAAGAAAGAGATTCCGATCGGATATACTAGGGTTGCTGTCTTCCAACACGCGCCCCAGAACCCGAGCGAGAAATTCATCAGAAACTTCGCCCTGACGAGCCACCAATGCGGACAGCAATCGCGTACACCAGGCAAAGCTCAACGAATCAAGGTGAGCGTCAGTAACCTTTTCCATAATTTGCATCGGAACGGTCTTGGCCACCCTCAAAAACTCCCCAAAATCGACAGTCACCCTCAGATCGAGCTTCATCATGTGCTTCAGCACCTCATCCGCGCCTGGCGGGTAGCTTGATGCTAACAGGATCAGTTCCTTTTGTGAAAAATGATGCATCTGTCCGCGTACCCGTGTGAACAAGTATTCGCTAGCGCCGCAAAATACGGGAAATAGGGGCTGAAGAAATTGCAACGCGATTTCCCTCACTAATTCGTCACTGAGAAACGAAAATGCTCGGAGAAGGACACCATCAACTTTCTCTAGTTCCCCTTTAAGCGTTCTTCGGTTAGTAGGCGTCTTTATTTTCCCATCGCCAACATCCGATGCAGTCGCCTCGGTACCGTCCCCGTGAGGGATCCGCACCACGATATGCGGAACCTCCCCGCGCAGGATTCCTTCCTTCGATGGGTTGTCGGCCACCACTCCACTCCCTGAAGACCCAAACAGTACTGGCGCGTGCCGCCGCGTTTTGAAGAGATGCCCTATAAAAACACGCGTTAGCTGAGCGAGCACCGTGGGTGCCCTTTTCTGAAGCTCCTCAGGGGCATCTCCTGATTCCTCAGCGTCCATCGACGCCGAGACACGCTTTAAAACCGTTTCGAAAGCGGTAGTGACTATACACAAATCATCCATCAACTCTGGGCGGGAGCGCCTCCGTTGGACAGCGATAAAAAATGCCGTGAACACATTTCCAGCTATTTCTAGGCTACAGGATCCAAGTAGAAACTCAAGATAGGATCTACACAACGGGAGCCGCAAGGGTACATCAGACCGCACAAGCGTCAGGAAGTGGGCTGGCGGTACGTAGCCACTCCTCTCTATCACCCCTGCGAGGTGGTGTTTATCCACAAAACTGATCTCATCATGAGACAGAAGGGGAGCGGATGCGCTCTCCTTTTGTGTTTTGACGCCGCTAGACGACGACGAGACGGTCGTATTGGTATGGCCTCCCGTGCCAGCTTCTGTGGCCAACATGCGGCCTTTGTCAGAAAGCCTCGATTGACAGCGGTGAGTGACCTCCCGCAGCATGGAGGGTGGTATATTAGATCCTGTTCGATACACCACTTCCAACAGCTCCTCCAAGTCATCTTCAGCGATGAAGCTAGTAAGATCATCGGAAGGATGAGAAGGAGAATGGACCTTTGTGCTAGTTAAAACAAACTCATCGTCAGCAGCATTTTCCGCAAGTGAATCAACCCCGACGAGGCGGCTCCCACCTCCGGAAGCACCACGTGTTGCGGGGTGTTGGGACGTATCGATGACATACGCCGCTGAAACCGGCTCTTCTGAGGTCGCCAGCGATGCTTCCCGGGGCTGGCTGATCTCCTCTCGATCGGCCGCGAGCCCTCCCTGGTTCTTCTCCGCCTCGTTTCGCTCGTTGCCGAGTCGCAAGAAGTATTGGTTTAACCAAGAAGTGATGGCCTTCCGAATCTCCTCGGAGCGTGCCGGAACCTTCCATTCACTACTGCCAAGCAAATACCGGATGGATCGAATAAGATAAACGGTGTGGAGAGGCGTGTGTTGTTGCTTTCGAGATGTCTGGTACAAGTCAGTGTCAGCCAGCCGCCTGGGATCAAGATGGCTTTGCTTGAGGAACAGCCTGATCAAATCCGGATTATACACCGACAGCGCTGTCGCCTCTTCTGAGAGGAGCTCAATAAAGCGAGCCAAGGAGTGTGATGATGTGGTGTCGTTGAACCTGATGAGGCGATCCATCAACTGCCTTTTGGACTCCCGATCCTCCAAGTATCGAAGCAAACTTGCCAGCACCACAATCACATCTGTTTTGTTTTGTAGTGAGGAGGACATAAACACACATCGAACGTAGTGGTTGAGAAGCGTTTCATCACTCAGGAAGAGGGCCTGTGGGCATGCGTCTGGCTCATTGAAATGCTTCTCCATTAGTTTGTAATGATCCCGATAAACCACATAGATTTCCAAAGCTTTTAGGGAATAGCAAATGGTATTCGACGAGTCCTTGTCATCTTCCCTCGTCGTCGTGGAAAGGGATGATCCGTGAGAGTTGTCGTGGGGTTGCTCACTTTCGATACCTTTACACCAATCAGCCGATGTCATGAGTACCGAAGCCCAATGTAGCACCTCTTCGCGATTCTCCTCTCCACTTGGGTCCGATTTCATATTCGGAAGTTTTTGAATAAGAATCGATAACAAGGTTACATAGTGTGGTGTTAGTGAGCACTTGCTCCCAAAAATTGCTTCTGAATGCAGCTCAGCAGAAGGTTTGGTCCTCGACTTTAACAAGCCCTTAAGAATGGCACGATCGGTATGGTCCAAACTTACTAGGATTAGTTGTTTTTGGGTATGCCAGGAGAGAAAAGGTGACCCAACTTGTAGCACCTTCAGCGAATCCTCTGGATTGAGAGACTTAATGCGGTCATCCGTCATTCCCATGCGTTGTAGGTAGGCAGATGGGTTTTGTGTGTATGGAAGCAAGCTTGCCATCATGGCGAGATTGAGCGGGGGTAACTGCTGAATGATGTAATCCGTCAGCCACCGCCCCTGAGTCTTTTCCGTATTTTCAAGCGTGTGAAATATACCAGAAAGTAATTCAATTTCCTCCAAATTAAATTTACTTGGATTCTGTAGGAAGCAACACACGTACTGAAGCAAGCACAGACGGAACGACGATTTCGCGAAGCTTATGTTGCGCATCAGCTCCGCACACTCCTGCAGTGAGATGAGATTCATAAATGTACAATCCAGTGGGCTTGTTTTGGGTGAACTTGCTAACGCTTTATCTGGGAGTGTAGTTCCCTCGTGAAGTTCAGCATCCCCTCCGCTCCTTTTATCACCTTCGTTGGCCCCTAAAATTTCTTCTGATTGTGTTGCCGTGCGAATCTTCTCATTGGATTTTAGGCACAGGGTAATTTTCCTCTGAAGAAAATCCACAACCTGAGAAAATACTTTCTGATCCTCACGAGAACAAAACTCAGCTCGTCTTTCTTGAGTGAAGACAAGCATAAACGTCAAAAGTATCTCGATATTGAGAGCAGAGTCCGCACTTTCGGATTGCGTGGTCGCAGTCTTCGAGATAGCCATCTGCATCTGGCGAAACACGACGGTGAAAAAAATGTCAGGCACCTCCATGACCGACCGTTCCATGGTATCGAGAGAGCCGAGGAAAGGAAATCCCTTTGATGAAATGCGATGCAGCCCATAAATAGCACTAAGCAGAAGCGCAAGAGGCTGACTGTCCAAGTTTTCACTCGAAACAACGCGCTGTCTGAAGGCAAGGATGGTGCTGATAAGACTTTGCTCTACCGTTCGCCCTGGATCGCTAGTTGTGCTACTTTCCTCATCTACAGTGCACTTTTTCACTGATGTCAACATTCGTGCTTTTTGATACAGAACATCGCAGAGAAGACTCATAATGACAAGACTTTGGCCGCACGAGAAGGTACTCATACAACTCTGCAGCCACGTGATAGCGGCTATATCTACCATACGGATGTCCTTCAAAGACTGCAGTATCGAACGGCACGACTCGTTGGTCCCACTGCACGACGCAGCGGCCTCCTGGTGAGCGCTACACCAACGCGTCAGTGCCTCAAATCCCTTTTTTTTCAATATCCTTTGACTTTGGAGATCCACAGAGTTGTCCTTTTTTTGAGGCGTCGCTCCTGCGACCAACTGACAATCACGAAACTCAACACCGCCGCCATGCATTTGCGAAGTCAACCCTTCAAACTTACGCTTCACTGCATTTGCATCAAAAAGCGAATCAGCCTTCGGCAATCTCGAGAGTAGAGCCGAGGAATCCTTAAGTCGAACGGAGGAGCAGAGTATACGAGGAACCTTTACAGGATGGGACAAGTTTTTGGTGATGTTGTATAGAACATTCATAGATAAGGCTTTATCCTATAATAAGCGTATGATACTTTCTCAGACCTGAAGTCGCTTTGTAGAATAAATTTTTAACTTCTCCTTTTATTCGTATGAACTAGTTACTCTTGAGGTGAGTGCAACCTTCAATTGCACCTTCAATGAGGAAGATAATAGGACCAAACGTGAAGATCCCGTAGAGGGAGAGAAACAAATACCCAATAAAAACGAACAAAAAGGAACTAGAAAGACCAAAATAAATGGGTAGCACTATGCGGACACACAAGATAAGTCTTTGGCCCAGCGATCATTAACATATTTCCTGTGTTTCTCATATTGAACTAGAAAGGAAATAATATGAAAAAACTTTCCTGCTCCGGTGCTTCAGAGGTTACTCTCTTGAATGTGATATAAAAGTATAGACAGAACCACAGAAGTTCAAGGAAGAATATGGGTTTCTACACACCGATGTACGATCTTTTCCCCCTAAAGTACTTCCTCCCATTTTATAATGTCTTTAGGGAAGCTTTAGTACGATCAAGGAGCACCAAAGTGTTTTCCAATTCCTCTGCAGTAAGTGTCGACAAGTCATTTACCTTTTTCAGCGGAGCGACCGGACCCTCAGTAGTAGGACTGTTCACCACACCATCCTCATCCTGAGATAGCGTCATCGCGCTTAGCCCGAAGCCGCTACGATTCAAAAGTAGGGATAGCTGCGGGAGGATGCGGCGATGGTCTTCAAACAGACTCTCCACCGCTAAGTGTTCGAGGAGCCGTGCGGCGTTCATTTCTGTCTTTTCCAAACCAAACAAAGATCGCACGTGCGCATAGGTGTTGAGCAAGCGCTCCTCCTCCTGTTTCCTCTCGATCCGGGCAAGCTCTTCGGCTGCCGTATTTGAGGCTTCTTTCTTCATGAATCGCAGCACCTGTTTTAATTTTGCTGCAGAAAGAGAGACTTTCAGCTGTGGAGAGAGCATAGCAAGCAATGCCGCATTGTCTTCGCCTTCATCATCATGTGGGGGTTCACCCGGTGAAGAAGCCAAGGATTGCGATCGGACGTCTGCGGAGGGTGAAGGAGGCGCCTGGGGCCCTTCCACACCGCGATCCGGGGCAGCTATGGGAGACGCCAACTTCCCTTTCCCTTCAAGGAGCTCCCTTGGTGCTCTACTGAGAGGCTCCTGAGTGCTTAGGATGGGGCCGCCAGGGCTCTCCACAGTCTGCTGCTCCCTGTACGCGTCCAGGGCCCGACGTTGAACGATCCCGTCCAGCCACGCCTCCGATTTGGATCCATGCTTCTCCTGAAGCAACCGCTGGAGCTCCTCACCCGCCTCCTCGGTGGACGGGACATGAGAGGTCAGGATGTGAAGCCGCACGGTGAGCTCCTCTGTGGCCAACGCCGCCCCCTTCACACCCTCTATTCTCGTGCCGCCCACTGTGGAGGCCTGGGGTGGCAGCTCTGCCCCGTCCGACAGCGGGCGGAGGCCTCGACCATTCCCTACCCCGCGCTCTCCCCAAGGCGTCTCCCCCACTCCCCAAGTGGCGCGGACCCAATTCGGGAAGACCGTAGCCACCCTGGCGACGTCGTCCACTGTCACAGTTGTCCCGGAGTACGCCGTGACGGCCTCCAGCCAGCGTCGGTTGACCCTAATACTGGGATGGGAGATGGAAAGGGGGTTTCGCGGCAGCAGCGCTCCCTGTTGTGCGCGTTGGAGGTGTGCCAGAAGGAGCATGGCGTGTCCCAGCATCGCAAGACGACCTCGTATATCAATCCCCAAGGTAAAGTTGGACTTCCCCCTCGTCTCCGGAGTGGCGGCGCTCTGAGTGGAGTCCTGAGGAAGCACTGGGGTCGCCTGAAACACATGCGCCAGTGCCTCAAGCCTGCGTCTTGTTCGAGACGAGTGCCCCACCGGCTCGGTACCCTTTTTTGATATCGTCTTCTCCGCCGCCGGAAGTAGGGGCCGCTTGGCTTTATTCCTTGGGGGCATTAAATCAAGGTGTTCTTGAAAATTATTGCAATTTGTGAGTACGTATGTCAGTGAGAAAAGTGTGACAATAGGGTAACGATATAAACATATCGCACATACCAGACTAACAGTGCCTTTCTCTATGTTAAAATCTATCTATGAGTGTGGGTAAGATGTTTTTAAATTATCTTGAATTTCAACTAATGTGTGATAAAAATAAAAGTCCGGGGTGCCAATCATTAAAGACGCGTTATATGCTATTAGTTTGAATGTATGGCGCTATATGCTCATCAGTTTATGTCAGTTTAGTAATGGTATTCAAAGTCATGATAATCATGATACTAAAAGTTAGGGTCCCCTAATATAGGATGTAATTTAGAGTTATAATTTGATCTAATTGAGGAGTAGTAGCATCCGTGCACAAAGGCGTTTGACAAAGGTCTATAACGTTGAATCTATTTACCTGGAGAGTACAAGTAACAAAGAAATAAAATTGTCTACTTCAATTTCCTACACAAAACAAGCAAAAAATGGAGCTTCTGCTCCCCTTTCTCTTTCTTATCCTCTCACGCAGACGGGGATTGTCATGATTTTAATGCTTGTATTTCCTATATCGTGGTAAAAGCACGAATGCTTCTTTTTTTTTTTGCGATAACACGTGCGAAGCACCTCTATGTAAAAACAAAGGAATCTTAAGAGAAAATAATGAATATAACCTGACAACGTCCTATTGTATACAGAAAGATAGTTTAGAGGGTCTTTCATAAAAATAAATACCACTGCTGTTTTATGTGAATGGGGTTCTTATAGCGAGTTCGTTGGCGACAGCCTGAATGCGCTGCTCGGGTGTCCTTCTGTCCTTTCCATCTGATATATCCGTCCGCATCCATGCCTTTGAGATGGCCCTCATACGCGCATCTGCCTTTTTATTCGGAACATATTTCATTAATACTTTATAGGTAGCAAGAAAGGGGTCTGCTTCATAATTTGAAGGAGCCTTTAATGAAATCGGTTTGGAGGCTTTTTTCACCCGATGCTTAGCGGGGCTCACCACTTTAATCGGCTTACTAGAAGCCTCCTTATTCATAGCAGCTGCGACCTGCGAAGACTTTGGAAATTCCTGAGCTCCGGTCGCATATGCGGTGCCAAGTCTGATCCTAGAGTTGAGTGTTTTGAGGTGATTAGTATAGTACCATAACTCCTTAATCACTCGAGAGCGCATCCCCTTAGGGTGATTGGGAATGCATCCAGTGAGAACCATTGCTCGGTAAAACACAAGATATGGGGAAAGATGCTTTTTCACACCCTTCGAAGTCTTACTTTTGGCTTTGACGCCATTGATACCCTTTTTGAGCGCTCGAAACGCCGCCTTGGGGTTTTTTTTTTGCTAATGACCGCCTTTCCTCGTACTGATTTACTTTTCGTTAATACCTTTGGTTGTTTCTTCTTCTTTGGTAGCACCTTTTTGGACCCCCCGAGGGACTTTTTAATAAGTCGGAGGGCCATATACTCGCGAGCCTTGGAGCTGAGATGCGTCTGTGTCGAGGTAAGGAGCCACAGGCGGTGGATTTGTCGGTTCAATGAGTCCGAGGGCTTAAGGTTGCCGCGCTTAATCAATGAGGCGCGAAACGCATCGTAGGGTGAACGCTTGGCCATAGCATTAGCACCAAGAGGGCCGGCAGCAGCTCCAAGGAGCTTCCTGCGTGTGGCAAACGGTAGTCGTGGGGAAGAAGGCCACTTGCGAGACGCCCTGGGAACAGTCCTTTTGTTTAGAGGCTGTGAAACGTTTCTCACGTTTTTCTTTGAGGAATTTAGAGACTTCACCTGCTTACCAGCGGCTGGTTGCTTTCCAGAAGCCGACTTCTTCGACTTTGTACCCTTTAAATGTTGGAAAGTTTTTTTGAAGCTTTGTTTACCCACTTTGCTTACCACTTTGGATGGTCGCTTTACTTTGAGCTTCGCATTCACTTTAGACTTTTTTGCAACCTTCATTCTTTTTGCCCGCATCGCAAGCTTCTTTCGTTTCGCTATGCGTGCTTTGGCTAAAACAGTGTTGCCATACCGCTTATACAATGCGAGCGCACGTTCAGCATGCTTGGAGCTTGGTGAGTCCTTGTATTCTGGTGTAGTCAAAGCCCATAATGCTCCAGCAACCTTCATTCGAAAAGGCGGTTTTACCCGGCTTAATGAACGAGCTAATTTGCTGTAAAAAGCAGAGAATGGCGGCAAACGACGCGTCTGTGCAAAGACGATCATCGAGCGAGACAACATCCTTACTTTTTTTTACCGCTTTAACTGTGATAATGCGAGTTATTCTTTATGTTGGAGGTCCCTCAATTACTGATGTATTCTCTTCACCATATGTATGGTTGTCGTTTGTAAAGCCAAACTGCTGAGACAACTGTTTGGTCAGAAAATTCTCTGAAGGTATTAGACTAGAAAATCAGAAAATGCTGAAAAGATAGTACCCCTTGTATATGGGCATATCAATGTGCATCAGATGAATAAATTACATAATTAAAATCCAGTGATGGACCTAATCCAAAACTGTTTTTCCCTTAATATTTGTACTACAGCACAACGCTACGGGGAAACTATAAAAAAGAGATGACCATCTGGTGTATTGATTCACGTAAGGTCACTCCCCCCCTCTCCTCCACGTATGATATGGTGAGTGGATAGATATACACACAGACAAAATATGCAACGAAGATAACGATGAATGCCAAATGGAAATAAATTAATGTTTCCTCTTTTAAAAGAAATGATAATTAGATAAATACTATGTTACCGCCTGAAAGTCGGAAATGAAAATGGAACATACCTCGCTCACAATAATACTAATAAGTATACTAATGCTTATTTACATATTAAACACATAATTTTATAGCGAAGGACAATCCATAACGATTAGAAGAAATTCAATTAACGGACAAAAAAAAGCATCTTAAAAATCTCAAATCTCACCCTCAAAGACACTCATTATCTGAAACAAGGGCAAATCAGCTTTAATATTCCAAACTTCGTCGGTTTATCAAGGCGAGTCGACTGAAACGTTGCGTACTCCTTCTCTCTCAGAAAGAACTTCTTCCGTCTCCCCAATTGTCTCCACATAAACGCGATCAATTTAAAACGTTCTTGGGGAGATTCATGGGAAAGTGCCATATCTTTGAAATGTTCCTTCACGAATAAATTATACACCGTGGGACGCCGCTGTCTCGGTAATTTTGACCTGTGCATGCAAGAAGATCCTTTCGACGCTTTTACAGTCGGCGTTCCACACCATTTTAGAGGGGTTATAGGGTAAAGCTTGGAAGCCATCACGGTTCTGCTCGTGAACGCAAGGCTTCTCCGTACGCTGGCGCGTTTGTACACCTCATCACTAAGCCCCTCCATAATCTAATGCGACGCGAATGAGGAAGACTCACTTCTCGGCCAAAACTTAGGGGAAAAAATTTTCTTGAGGACCTTCTTTTTTTCAGTAATTGGAGTTAATAGCGTCTTGTATTTGAAAGCTTTGAAATACTGACGGGAGATGAGAAAGGAATAACAAAAGGATGCGATCTTACCCCTGACAATGGTAAGTGAAAACTTGCCTTTGACTACTATTGCTAGGACAAGGAATTGAAATTTTGTAAAATAAATCATTATCACTTTGCTTTTTTTTTCAATCGAAAAAATATCAGATGCTACGTTCTCTACGAGTGCCATTGAACACATCAATAGTTTTAATATATGCTAGTTGATGTTTCTTTCTTCAGTTCAATCTATTGCATCGAGCTGACCCTCAAACATCACTCGTTCTATCTATATTCTATAATCATTCTTCATGAAGTAGCTACTAGGGGTGGAAACGATAGCCTTCCTTAAAATCACCACTTGTCTTATGCCGAGTATCGATAAATGAGTTTCTCTATCTTCAGACTATCTCTTCACGATGCACAAGAGGAATTGGGTCGCCTGTTGATATTAGGGTTTTTGTAATGCCCTCAGGATTAGACTCGATATCACAACGAGGACTTGTGTGGGGGTGGAGCTGGGGCGCCCTTTTTCTTTTTCACAAGTTTGCGTTTCAGAATCTTTTTCCTAAGGCTATCCTGATCTGATGGGTTGTCGTTGCGACTGCCGCCACCGCCTTCCGACCCCACCTTCGATGGGTCGACCTTCCCGTCTTCTGGTGTTGCCATGGGCACGGAGGACTCGGGGGGCGTTGCCGGAACCACGAGGGCGGGCGGTGACAAGGGGGCCTCAGGCTGGGACGGGACGCCCGCCCCGGCCTGTCCTACCCCAACCTGTCCCACTTCGGCTTGTCCTGCCGCGTCGGAGGGCCCGGCCGTCCCCTCCGCCGTGTCATCAAAGGCGATCGAGGACGTCGCGGGATCGTCCTTCCGAGCCGAGACCGCCGCTCCCGTGTCGGAGGCCACCGTGTCATCCGGTGACGCGGCCTCCACCTCGCCGGCGCTGGAGGTCGGCTTCTCCGTGGAAGCCCCCGCCTCCAGAGGGGTGGCGCGTTCGCTTTCACGCAGCCCCTTCCATCGACGCGCAATCTCTTTCATGCGTTCTTTGAGGGGTAAATCCTGAACCTTTGGCATTTCCTCCTTGACAAAACGCGCGAACGGTGAAACTACGCGAACCCGTTCCCCTCCTTTTTCGGTGCTCTTCTTCCGCTTCGATTTGGAGGTCGCCTTCCCGGTCGTTGCGGTGTTCTTGGATGGCTCTATCGTTACAGTCATTTGGTTTGCTTTTGCTTCGTAGTATGCAACTCTTGCGGCTCGGTATGCGTCGTATTCGGCAGCACGCTTCTCCAGGGCCTTCTTGGCTTTAGCCGGTAGATTATTAAAAATCTCAAACAACACAAGCTCACGATCTCGCGGGTTGTTTAACACCGTGATCGACGGACTACTGCTTTGCTCCTTGACAAAAAATTCATACAACGATATTTTGGGTACATTCCTCAACGTCTTCGATCGATTCTTGTTGGTCTTGGCTCTGGAAAGCTCTTGTTTTTCAAACGTTTCTGCACGTGCCTTGAGGCTCTCGTAGTCATTCGTTGAAAGCGACTTGAATGCTTTCGTGAAAGCCTTTTTCTTTTCTGCAGCAGGAAGATTTTTCAAGGAGTGGTTTATTTGGTTTTGCTCTATGCAAAATAGCTCAAAGGCCCTCTGGCGAATGTTTTTGAGCAAAATTGGACCAAACGAAAACATTAATTTCAAAAAAGAAAAGCGATCCGAGCTGCTAGCAAAGAAGTTGTTCTACTAAACCTAGAACTTTTGAGCTACTCTTTTGCAGGATTGATGGATATCTCCTTCCTATCACAGCTCTTCCAAAATTAAACAGGGTAGGAAAAAGGAAAATAGATAAAACAGAAAGGATTGTCTATGTGCTCATTAACCTTCGCGTTCTCTAAGCACATCGCGTTGATATTCTTCAATGGCAATCGTACCAGAATGAATAAATGAAGTCTATTATCGTGAATCTTTTTGTCGCCATACAAATTCAGAGGGAAAACGTAAAATAAATGCTTATAATCAGTAAAAAATGCGCCAAAGGGTCATTGCACCTCTTTGCAGCTGCCTCTAAAAAAAAAATCTGTATAAGGAGATCATTTTTCCGTTGACTCGAGCAATTTATACCTGCAGAGTTTCTAACTAAGCGTTTCTAGTTTCATCCTTATCCCCCCTTCTTCCTTTGTTATAATTTTTCTATTGCTTAGTGGTAGCTATCATTATTATACTACCTCTTTGGAACAAAAGCATTTTTAGTCAGCTCGATACTTCATATTTATTTGAAGGAGAATAATAGGTCTGGTATTTACACCACTCCTGAATTTCAAGACTCTATAAATATGAAATTAACAAACCTCACTTACTAATGTGACAAACTCCTTTTTCTCTTCAGCTTTTCATAAATCTTTTACTCTCTCAGAACGAAATACAGAATAATAACTCAAAAAAAACTCTGTTACGGATGAGAAAGGAAAAACGATCTATAAACAAAAGATGTTGAAGTATGGGGAAAAGACTGAAAGTTTTTGCATTATAGTGCACAATAATTTTGTATATCAGATCCAAGAATAAGTGTAAATTTGTTAGTGAGTTGCACATTACGGACTAGTGCGTTGTTTCTGTTGCTTCCAGAGCTTTGCCACCGCCTTCATACGGTCACGGTGGGGCAATTTCTCGAATTTGTTCATGTTCTCCTTCACGAAATTCATGTAAGCATTGGCCTTTCGGGGACTTTTAGACTTCTTCTTCTCGGTCGAAGTGCTTTTGAGTTTCTTTGAGCGTGTTGGCGACGGGTGAGCGGCGGCACGTTTCCCGAGGAGGTCACGATCCTGAGGGGAAAGCGCCTTGTACATTTTTGAGGTCATTTTGCCTCGCTCCGCAATGGGGAGACCCTTCAGTTTCGGGTTGTTTTTCTGCTCTATCATAAAAAGACTGTAGGCACCAATGGCTAAACGCCGGTTAATGAAGCGGAGCATATTGATTAGTGAGACTTTTCAGAAAATATGTAAAAGTTAAGCAAAAAGGGAAAACTCACTTCGCATAAACGAGGAGGAGTCTTAGAGAAGAATTCTATCAGTATTCAAGAATTTTTATGTTGACATCACGATCGAGAGAACCCGCCGAATATTTCCCTTCACAGACTGTGGCAGTGTGCGCCATTCTTGAAATTTCAATACCTAACCGTAAAATAATAAAACAACTTCAAAAAAAAAGACGAATACATCCTAATAAACATTTTGATTTGCCTTCCTTGTGTCTGGAGTTTCCAGTAAATGTATAATTTATAGCTAATCAATAATCGCGCTTCTTTACCACCTCTTTCTTACTATTTCTCATAAAATTTCAACTTTTAACTTTTTAAAAAAACGGGGTTCATTTGGTGTGTTGACTATATTCCTTTAGTAAGGACAAGACCTCGGGCGCTACTGGATGACAACTAGAGGAGAGAATGTATGACAAAATGTAACCAAGGTCGCGTCACGTTTATCCCCTTTCAAAAATATAAATTTAGAAAATTCCTTTTAAAAAGAAAACGTACAACTAAGACGAATACACACACACACACACACACACACACACACACACACAAACAAAAA